ATTTCTGACCTTGTTTTTCCTATTTGCCGTTGCTCGCAATCACCGGATTTCAATCATTTCCTTCTATTATTTACGGCAGTAGAGTACTTCAAATGATATCAATGGAAGTATTTCTTGTTTGGGAAAAACAGGTGACAGTAATTTTATTATATTTCATATTATTTTTGAAACATATTATTAATAGATAAATATTCATTCCTATTTTAAAACATACGCTATAGGACAGGAATGATAGGATAAAAATGTTTAGAACGTATGATCAGCGATCAGCTGCACTTTCTGTTAAGTACACAACTTTCCTCGCTTTGTTTATTAAAGATGGACTTTTGCTCCTCGTTGATACGTTAGAGAATGCCCTCAAGACGTTTCTCGTTTGCAATTGCATTCAATTACCGACGGCCTTGAAACGGTCGCTCAATTACTATACAGGCTCGTAGACTGCACGCAAGTGGTGCACGCTAGGCGAGAAAGCGATAATCGGTGAATACTGGTTGAAAATCTTCGGAGAGTACTCTTTAATCACCACTCTCGAGTAGTATCATTGGGACGACCGCTGACATGCTTGATCTCACGACTGAAAAATCACTGATAAATGGAAAGTTGCCTGACATGTGGTTACATTGTAAGCCGAACAGCCAGTGTGCACGTGCTCTTTCGTGTTTGTCGTATTTCAAGCCTTTCAGTTGGCCAGAAAACAAATTTAGGAGATGACGCACCTGGTGCGTCTTATACTGTATGCATCAGACGACGCACCACGTGCGTCATACAAAGCAGTGTACCTGAATAAGTAATAAACAATTACTACAATCGTTTTGTTTATGTTAAATTATCAAACATTTGATATTCCATAGCACATGACGCACATGGTGCGTCTTATGCTGTACGTATCAGGCGACGCACCGTGTGCGTCATATCCTATCAAATACCAAAAATTTGATAATTTAACGTAAACAAAACGATTGTAGCAATTGTTTATTAGTTATTCAGGTACACTGATCTGTATGACGCAGCTGGTGCGTCTTATGCTGTATACATCAGGCGACGCACCACGTGCGTCATACAAAGTAGTGTACCTGAATAAGTAATAAACAATTACTACAATCGTTTTGTTTATGTTAAATTATCAAATATTTGATATTCCATAGCACATGACGCACATGGTGCGTCTTATGCTGTACGTATCAGGCGACGCACCGTGTGCGTCATATCCTATCAAATACCAAAAATTTGATAATTTAACGTAAACAAAACGATTGTAGCAATTGTTTATTAGTTATTCAGGTACACTGATCTGTATGACGCAGCTGGTGCGTCTTATGCTGTATACATCAGGCGACGCACCACGTGCGTCATACAAAGTAGTGTACCTGAATAACTAATGAACATTTGCTAAAATCGTTTTGTTTACGTTATATTATCAAATATTTGGTATTCGATAGCACATGACGCACATGGTGCGTCTTATGCTGTACGTATCAAGCGACGCACCGTGTGCGTCATATCCTATCAAATACCAAAAATTTAATAATATAACGTAAACAAAACGATTGTAGCAATTGTTTATTAGTTATTCAGGTACACTGATCTGTATGACGCACCTGGTGCGTCTTATGCTGTATACATCAGGCGACGCACCACGTGCGTCATACAAAGTAGTGTACCTGAATAACTAATGAACATTTGCTAAAATCGTTTTGTTTACGTTATATTATCAAATATTTGGTATTCGATAGCGCATGACGCACATGGTGCGTCTTATGCTGTACGTATCAGGCGACGCACCGTGTGCGTCATGTGCTATAGAATACCAAAAATTTAATAATATAACGTAAACAAAACGATTGTAGCAATTGTTTATTAGCTATTCCGAGTTTGCATACAGGTACAGTGCTCTGTTGACCCAGTTCGTGGGGGATGAACTCAGCCAACGCACTGTTTACCGTGGTGCTCGGTTACAACGCATCCGGATTATGCAACCGGACGGTATTTGTCCTTCGAACATCGAAGCACGTTCAAAACAGTGCTGTGTGTTTATCTAATGACCAATTGGGAGTTGTAGAAATGTATGCATGTTGATTGAAATATTGGAATGTGTGGGAATACTGATTGCTGGTATATTTGAGAATATTAGATAATGTTGAATCATTGATATAAGGGGTATCAGGAAAATGTAGGAGTAGTTTGAGAGCTGAGAATATTTCAGAGAATTTGGAACCTTAACCCATTCGCCAATGTCCCATTTTCAAATTTTTTTTTTTTAAATTATCAGTTATTAAAAAAAGAATTTGAAAATGTGTTCCAAAAATGGGACATAATGGGTTAAGCGTAGGATAAGCGAAAAGATATTCCGAGTCCCTGATCTCGGATTTTCAGCTGGTAAACGATTCTGTTCTAGTATTCCTATAGCGTTTCCAGTGAGGTAGGTCAAACAGAAACAATCAATATTTTCCTTGGGCTTCGCAGACGAGTTCAAGAATCATCCGTATCGCGTACACATGCTAACTCACGTGGCTGGTTAGCAAAGAAATGCTGAACAGAAAGAATCATTTGCATTGCGTGGAATCTGAGGGAAATCATCATAGGGAAACAGTGCATACTTCAAATATTTTTCATACCGTTCACACTCCGTTGTCAGTGCAACGAGAAAAAACATTAGAAAATTCAGGTCTCGTACAGGAGACGAAATCTAGCAGTCGATGCACGTTTAACGAGCCCACGGAACTGCAGGATCTGAATATAAAAATAAACAGGCACGGTTGAAAGGAACGAATCGCGTTATGTAACACGCCTTAGCGATTAAATCCTTTGCTAATACTGCTGATGAAAGAAGCTTCGGAACAGCATTCTGTTGATTGCATCTCTTTGTATTTAAAGCGTTGAAATTTTTGCTACTCTTAAATATCTAGGGTATGATAAATTAAAATATTTTATCTAGCATGAGCCTGAAATAATCAGAATAAATTTCCATTTATTCATCTGAATAAATTAAATGTTAAATCCTCCTCAAAGTTTCAGGGTCACTCATCGAAAATGCGATTCTAAACGCGGTTTTGTTTACCTTGATACGTTGACTTGTGACTTTCGTGTTTGTCACCGACGGCGTATCTAAAGAAGTGTAAACAACCGATTGGTAGACAGGTGAGACCGCTAACTGCGCAACAGGAATTTCTTTTTTTTCACTTTTCAACGTGCAGGGCACGTGGCACGACACGGTGACACATACAGGGTGTCCCAGCCCAAATGACAAAAAATTATTGATATGGAAATTGTATGGTAAAATGGTAAAAAATCTTCTACGTTATTAGTTTGAGATATGATGGTCAAGTTTTGTTTTTTGAATGGTACCATATGTTTTTTTCAGGTCATGTGATAGTGCCTCTCCAGACGAATTCATTAGGCTTTAATGTATACACTCGATTTTAATTAATTTCCCAATTTTCTCGGTTTGAGTAGCCAGTCGTAAAAGCGGCCCTATCATTGCCGTTTCTTATTCTTTGGATCAGCATTTACCGCAACAATAGGGCCACTTTTTTGACCTGTTACTCAAATCTAGATATCAACTGAAAATCGGGAATTACACATTCAAGCTTAATAAATTCTGTGCTTTTGAAATAGTGCCTGATATATACAGCATAAGACGCACCAGGTGCGTCATACAGATCAGTGTACCTGAATAACTAATAAACAATTGCTACATTCGTTTTGTTTACGTTAAATTATCAAATTTTTGGTATTTGATAGGATATGACGCACACGGTGCGTCGTCTGATACGTACAGCATAAGACGCACCATCTGCGTCATGTGCTATGGAATACCAATAGAAATAGTTACTTTTCAAATTTCAAGCTCTCTATTTGTCATTCCACATTATTTGTACTATAGCAATATTATTTACAATAATGTTTTTCTATTGTTTTCCTTTAATTACTCAGAGAAGTGTAATTTGCAGAGTCGGTCACCGGTGACCCCCATGGCGTTCAACGTGTTAAACTAATTTTTCACTTCGGCCAAAACATAGTTCCCATTATACCTGTGCAATTTCCATATCAAAAATTTTTTGTATAACGGCTCTGTCATACTTGGGCTGGGACGGGTCCAGCCCAAAATCCCGACACCCAAAAGTTTGGGTGTCCTAACCTAAACCTAACCCTAACCTAACTTTACAAAAAGCTACCCAGAACTAACCTAACCTAATCTTCCAAAAAGTTACACAAAACTAACCTAACCTTACAGAAAGTTACCCAGAACTAACCTAACCTAATCTTCCAAAAAGTTACACAAAACTAACCTAACCTTACAGAAAGTTACCCAGAACTAACCTAACCTAATCTTCCAAAAAGTTACACAAAACTAACCTAACCTTACAGAAAGTTACCCAGAACTAACCTAACCTAATCTTCCAATAAGTTACACAAAACTAACCTAACCTTATCAAGAACACGGAGTTTTGGGTGTGGGGATTTTGGGTGCCACCGGACTGGGACACCCTGTACACTCCCGGTACACGTATCGTTCGGAGGAAGTGTGCGAGCGAGTTCCCAACTGCTCCGTCCGACTATGTAATCTCGCGTGTTTTGATTCGGTAACGGTCGCTATAAAAATAGACCAGGAACGTGTGTTTACGAGGAATCACGTTGCACTCACGATACGGCGTCACACGTGAGGCATAGGAAGGATCCAATTGTGAGCCTCCATTGACCGTGCGCTTCTTGCGCGCTAATCGACTGGTCACTTAGTTTCTATTTGTGGATACGAATACGACTCTCCTGATAATGTTTTTCATTCTTCGATTACATGCTCTGATGGTTCGTATCTAATGCTATGTTTCTCTTTTTTAGGTTTTTCTGTTGCACATCGGATGTTTTGAATGTTAAGATACATGGGTTTGATTGGAGCGTTTGTATGGATGTGTTGAAGCACTAACTTCTCAGTGAGAGGCATTAGAGTATTGGGATAATAGACTAAACGAGGCATTACACAATTCCCAAGGATCACGACGCAACATCAGCATAACAGAGAATGTTTATTTCTAATTGATAAGATAATCAGGTGCAATAAGTTGGAACTCCGTCCGAATGTAAACAGACGAGTTTCACATTAGGCGCGTCTATAAATAATTCTTTGACAACACCGTTCACGATTGCCATGGAATACCTTCTACTTCTTATTCCTCCTAGTTCTGGAATATCAGTGTCCATTCCAATTGCCTTGGTATACGATGCCATTGGATCTGCCAACATTCTTACCTGAATTCAATTTGTCACTTTAATCGTTTCGGTATTTAAACTGAAGGAGAATTCATTTTCTATCCATAAACTGATACAATCCTTTCTAACGTAACCGACAATTGGGTCAGTATTAAAATTAGAAAAAATCTGGTGAACTGGTGAAACCAGTTCGAGCTGGTTTCCACGCTGGCTAATTAATATAATGATCCATTAAAATGAAGTAAAACTATTTTGCTTTCGGATTGAACATTTTTTAAAGCCTCTCTGTTTAACACGGTTCTGATTCGATGAGAAATTAATGGATGCGTTGAAAGTATGTTGAATTTTAATGAGATTGTTACTCTCATTGTTGGCACTGTTACCTTATCGTTAGCTCCTTTGGCATTTCCCCAAGCAGAAAGCACGAATGGGTCGTTTACAGACACACAGATTATTTCCTGAAAGCCCAGAAACCTCAAATCTGTCGACCTAATCGATTCATCGACAATGGTTAAAGTACGTTTCAGAAAAACACAATCGTTATTAAAGTACTTATCTGGGGAACTACCCAAGTGGTAATGTTCATTTATTAATGAAACTCTGCCACCGTGTAGAGCTCGTCGAGCTGAACATACCTATACCCCATTTTGATGGCAGACGGTTAATTGTTTAAAAGATATTAACAATTAAAGTTAGTTACTCCTTACATTCAGAAGTATAACGAACTGGCGCGTAGAAACGATTAGCCCTGTGGTTAAACACATAACTCGCAATCTGAAGGTGCAGGGTTCAAATCCTTGATTCCTAACAATTTTTTTTTTTTATAATTGTTTCTTTTTGACAACCTATTACAGCTGTATTATAATCACTGCATTTATTAATAATTTAAATTCTATAAAAATTGCAACGTATATAATGAATTATTAATAAATATAGTAACTATAATAGGTAGCTGTAATTGGTAGTCAAAAAGAAACAAAGTACCATAAAAAAAAAAATTAGGAATCAAGGATTTGAACCCTGCACCTTTAGATTGCGATTCATACGTTTAACCACGGAGCTAATCATTTTTTTTTTTTTTTTTTTAAACGAACATTTATTGTTCCAGAGATAACAATATTTACAAGGAGTGCAATAAACATAACAAACAAAAGATAACTAATATTTTACCATTATTTAAAAAACGAGACAAAAGGCTTCAGCATTTCCACGTATGAATTTCCACGTAACTAACTTTAATTGTTAATATCTTTTAAACAATTAACCATCTGCCCCCAAAATGGGGTACAGGCTTATTCAGCTCGACGAGCTCTACACGATGGCAGAGTTTCATTAACAAGTGGGTAGTTCCCCTCGTTAATACTATTCCAGTTAAATTTGATCTGTTTAAAAAATTAGGTACTCTGAAGTGATAGTAAAACCAGGATCCCCATACTTTTCAATAAATCCTCTTAAATGAACCCTGGAGCATCCGGGAACATAAGCACCGGGTACACCAAAGATGATGGCCTTCTTATTCCCCACGAGATCCAAAATATTGATTCGATTTTCTGGTTGAGCCTCGTACAAGGTCGCGTTAGGTATTCTGTTCCCTTTTCTGATTTGAGGCATCTTTATTTTCTACGGCTTCGCTTAACCTCGTTCCTAATTCGAATCGGGTCAAACGATCATCGTAACCAAATTTCTGTTCCTCTTTCATTTGTTTATCTCGAGTATCGCTATAATTCGCGAATCGAACGGAATCGAGCCTTCGGCTCCCAATCCTTGCCGCGTCTGATGCTCCTCTCCGTTAGTGATAAATTTAGATGTTGGCATGTTTGCAGGAATCGCAGTGTTCGATCGACGAATTTCTGCCAGCGGGAGAGGCGGCGGCTCGAGGCTCGATTTGGATTCACGAAAAAAAAAAAAAAAAATAAATAAATTCCGACGAGAGCGCGATTGTTTGGCTCGGCTGACTTTGTTGTTTCAAGACGGTTACGCGGGACCGATGTCGCAACCGAGAGAGTTCGTGCTTCGAAAATCCAACGGGAGACGATTCTGTGACTCAACTGAGGTCAATTGATGAGCGCCGGAAGGTCGAGTTATCTGTGGTCATTGTTGTTGTCAGAAGAGTTCACGGTCTTGACGTTTCAAATGTTAATTGCCCAAACAGGAAGCGTCACGCTTTGTAATTGAGAAATTTAATTAATTAATGCTTCTAATCAGTTCGAGCATGGACCAAGGTTCAGAGCTTTCCAAATTTTACAATGAACGTTTAGAGACTCTTTTTGAGAACAAGCCCCAGCCTATTCATTGTTATACTAGTTAATGTGACAATAATTATTTCAGACTGTAGACAGGCTGTAAAAACACCCCCCTACCCAAGAAGCTGTTCAAAACTCAACTCCTCGTACACGCAACAGCCGGATTAAAGAAACGTGCATTCATTTTTCAGGTTTCGTGGCATGCACCTTGACAAATCCTATTTGGTTCGTGAAGACCAGGCTACAGCTGGACCATCGGTCGGACAAAATCACCGCGATGGAGTGTGTGCAAAGGATATATCGCCAATCGGTACGAGATTCTTCCAAACGACACATCAATTATTTTATTGGAGGTCTTACACAAGCTTAGAAGGATCTAGACGGGGATTTCACGTGATCAATAACGAGTCGTTTCCTCGCTCTATAAACATCAGCCACATATTATATTTTCCTGCCCGATGCACAGTCCGTGCATCTAGATTTATTCTGAGAGAACTCATCAATCATTCTTTAGCTAAAGTTCTTCCCTGATCAATACACAGGTGTAGAGAAGCGTTGCTTTGCTAGAAGAGATAGTACATATGTTAGGATACGTTATTTCTTGTTCAAAAGTGTTCGTTGGGCAATACAGGGACCGAGTATGTCCCTAAAACACGCCCCCTCACTGATAAGGGATGCATAATGCACCTTTTTGTCAAATTGAGGGAGACGAATTGAATTATTTCTTATTTAAGCAATGTACTGGAGTAGATTATAGTAAAAGGAAAGAGAGGTACTTTCTGGGCCACTGAAACTCATTACTTGTGCTGAAAAAGAATAGAAGAACAATAAGTGTGACTGAAGGAGGGCAACTTTTGGTCTGAAGTATTTTTTAAAGAAGATGAAAGGAACGTTTTACACTTTGATCGAATTGGTTGTGTCTGGAAAGAAGAAAAAGGATAACGAGAACTGTCGCTGACAAAAATTCAACAATGTCGATGGTGCAACAATAAACATCTTGTTGCAGCCAAAGATATTTTTATCACAGTCTATGCATAGAAACCAGGAGCACAAATGCATGCATGTAGAACGTGTTTAAAGATGATGCATTCGCTCGGTAACGATCTATGATGATAGATGAATTTGTATTATAATGGTTGAAAGAATCTGGTTTTAAAAAAAGTTACCATTTCAGAATTAACGTTGCGTTCAATTGCGTTGTCCGACGAGAACATTTGCATCGCAATTGTACCGAAGCCAGTTCTAAAACGAGCCTTGCGACCTACGAATAGTAAATAACGATAAAAATAACCGGCGTAATATGCGATCCGCAAAAACAACGATTTATAGATCATTCTAGCGGAATGTATAGTGTATATCTTGCGCAATCCTCATTAATGGCGCCTCTGTTTTTATTCGCAAAGGGAACTGAACTATGTACACGTTCCTTCTGTAAACATGCAATCAGCTACACGAAGACAAAGAGAAAAACAAATTAATTTTCATGAGTAGAACGAATGATCAATTAGTTGATAAGTACCTGCCCGATGTTATTTTTAAGCAGAATAACTTGTCTAGATAAGGTATAGGGTGATAATAGAAGCTAGGAAAAATTATACATTAAGATATAGGGAGGATTATTCCTGCGTAACTTGAAACTATAGCACATTTCATGCTGTCGTCACTTCTAAGTAAATTTGAGTATGTAGTAGAATAATTTTAAGCAGAATAACTTGTCTAGATAAGGTATAGGGTGACAATAGAAACTAGGAAAAATTATACATTAAGATATAGGGAGGATTATTCCTGCGTAACTTGAAACTATAGCACATTTCATGCTGTCGTCACTTCTAAGTAAATTTGAGTATGTAGTAGAATAATTTTAAGCAGAATGACTTGTCTGGATAAGGTATAAGGTGATAATAGAAGCTAGGAAAAATTATATATTAAGATATAGGGAGGATTATTCCTGCTTGACTTAGTTCTATAGCACATTTCATGCTATGGTCTCTTCTACGTAAATTTGAGTATTTAGTAGAATAATTTTAAGCAGAATAACTTGTCTAGATAAGGTACTGGGTGATACTAGAAACTAGGAAAAATTATACATTAAGATATAGGGAGGATTATTCCTGCTTAACTTAAAACTATAGCACATTTCATGCTATGGTCTCTTCTACGTAAATTTGAGTATTTAGTAGAATAATTTGAAGTAGAATAACTTGTCTGGATAAGGTATAGGGTGATAATAGAAACTATGAAAAATTATACATTAAGATGTAGGGAGGATTATTCCTGCGTAACTTAAAACTGAGGCATATTTCTTGCTATGGTCCCTTCTGAATTTCAGTTATCGAATACACAATACAGTGATAAATAGTCATTCATAAAGCAGGGATTTGCCAACTTATCATTCTTAGTTATCAAGTGATCATACTTTAATGGAGTGATAGGATTAACCCTTTGCTGATAGCATAAATATTACAATTGATGTAGGTAACAGATGTGAACCATCATTTAAACCTATCACTGTAAGCTACATTTGGGACTCCAGCATGTATGTGCGTGCAATGATAAGATTGATTAAGTATCAGTCTTTACTGATAAAGTCTCCATTCATGATTCATGTTATCCTATCGCTCTGTCAGCATGGCAGGCTTCTTTTAATATTTACTTTATTATAAAACTGATGGTATTAACTTCCTGTATGAAAGTGAAATTTAAAATCTTCTGTTATATTTTTCAGGGTATCCTGGGATTCTACAAAGGCATCGTAGCCTCCTACGTAGGAATAAGCGAAACTGTGATACACTTTGTGATCTACGAGGCGGTGAAGGCTTCGTTAGTGGCATACAGGATGCCAGACGATCGCAAAACGTTGCGCGATTTTCTAGAATTCATGGCCGCTGGTTCCTTCTCGAAAACGATCGCCTCTTCCATCGCTTACCCCCATGGTAAGGTCGGCTGTGATTAATCCTGCTACCATTAACAGAGGGAAAATGATTTCGCGTTTCCTGTTTCGGTTGCAATCTATTTTTGTAACACTGCTAATGATGCAGATATTGGCTTTCGTTCAAGATCAAAGCGTGGGTGTACAAGTTTGCAAAAGGCTTATCAAATTTGCTTCTTGTAAAAAAATTATTCTGGAGAGATCTTGATTGTAGATGATTAATTTAGAAGAACAGCAGCGGGACGAAGCTTCAATTTGGTTCAACATGGTCTAAAAGTATAATCATTCAGCTGCCAGCTCTGATCGATTAAGTTTGATTGTAGACACCGAAGTTCCACTTCCTCTGCTATTCTCTGGCCAAAATCAATTGCTTCACTGCGACCACCTTGTTTACTACTGTTACAAGCTTTATAATTATCCTCAGACAGATTCCAAATAGAAATTCTATTTACAAAATGAAAGCATAGTCAATTGATTTATGAGAAATTATTTTCTCAGATTCCAAATAGAAATTCTATTTACAAAATAGAAGCCCAGTCAATTGACTAATGAGAAATTATTTTCTCCAATAAGATTACTCTTTTATAATTGACTTCTGTTTAACTAACAAATGTAAACATTTTCAGAGGTTGTCAGAACACGACTGAGAGAGGAAGGTACAAAGTACTACGGTTTCTTTCAAACTGTAAGAACCGTCCTCGCCGAGGAAGGCCGCCATGGTTTGTATCGTGGACTCGGTACCCATCTGATCAGGCAGATACCGAACACAGCGATCATCATGGCGACGTACGAGGCGGTTGTGTACATTCTGAACAGGCACTTCCACGAACAAGCTCTGATAAATAACGCTAAGGAGTCCCAATACTACACGGAGTCGAAATCGAAGAGCGAACTCGCCTAGGACTTGCTTTCGGCCCCCGAGTAACGAGGGCCAATTGGCTCGTAGCGAATCCTGAAGCTGCGTCCAACTAGCAACACCCGTCCAAGAGCGTTCCAGGTGCGAAGGGGACGCCCGATGGACAACGTGCGCGTTTCCATCATCGCAGGAGACGCTGGCCTACGCCTTTAGCTGTCCAGATTCGTTACGTGGAAGGTAGCAAAAGGTATCGCAGCGAGCCTATCGCTGTATACTTTGTAAGCGTAGCAAAAAGTAGTCCTTCCTCCTTTCAGGTAGCGTACGTACACACGCGGAACAGCCTCTGACTGTACATCGCCAACACAGACGGGATACGAAGCAGGGAAACGAAGCTGGAATTAAATGAGAGTCAGTTATACGTCTCAGAACGCGATACGTTACCGTCTTTTATTCACGGGGTGATTTGTAAGATTCGATGAACCGCGTTGCCTGTAGTCTGTTCTTTCATTGGTAGCGATACGAGTAGACGCGATGGAGGGCCATTTCAGGTGTCTGGTGATTTCTGAAAGTTTTGAAATTCGATAGAACGATGCTTCTCTGATCTTAAAAAAAAATAATAATAATCACTGAAATGGCTCTGTATTCATTTGATGCAGTATTACGATCTCGCTAGAACCTGCGCACTTAATTTAGGCCAAAAGTTAATATACTAAAATAGAAAGGAAAAATGATTGCTTCTGAATATGATCGTTGTACCTAATTTGATCATTGTTAAATAAACTATCGATATCTTTCTTCTAATAGAAACATCAATTAGTTTGTAATAACCTCCTCGAACGGAAGAAAGACATTTCGTTATCGCTTAAAATAGAAGTTAATATACGTAAGATAAGATTTCGACATATGCAATACCAGTTTTACATTCTATAATATGTAATTTGTAAATCAACGAAGAGGGAAGTTCGCGATCATTGGACGCGTTGGATACACAACCTCGATGATTCTGTAAATGGTAGAAATTAGATAATCCTTGTACATAGAACAATAAACGCGTTATACACACACACAAACACGTTATGTGTATATAAAAATATACCAGTAGATTCACAGTAGTTTGTATTTTTTCGAGTGTGTATTATACCATGTCATTGTTAAAAAAAAAAAATTATAGCAAAGATTTCATAACAAAGAGGAGAAATGTTGCCGTCTGTAGCTTCCTCAATTGTACACGTCTATACTTGTAATTAGAAAGACATAGAAGTGCGTTGTTAGTGTGATCCATTAAAGAAGCGATAAATATTATTGATAAGTTACATGTGTAAGAAGATCAATGATGTTTTGTTATTGAGAGATATCCTATCGGTTTACCTAACTTTTATAAGTTTGATTACGTTGTTGCAAGCTACCGATTTTTTTTTTTTTTTTGCTAGATGTTAAGAGGTGTGATGTATAGACATTTAGTTTTTATACTAAATATGATTCGCGTACAAGATTTACTTTGGCTTGCTGTTTGTAATATACAGGGTGTCCCAGAATTCATTTTCACTCTGTGAAAGGGTGGTAGCTGAGGTGATTTTGAACAACATTTTCCTTTGCGAAAATGTTGTTCGAAGCTTCGTTTTTGAATTATTAGGGAAAAAACACTGACCAATCGGAGCGCGCACAGCGCGTGGGCTCAGGGACGGCAGCCTCGACTCCTGAGCCCGCGCGCTATGCGCGCTCTAATTGGCCAGTGTTTTTTCTTGATAATTCAAAAACGAAGCTTCAAATAAAATTTTCGCAATGGAAAATGTTGTTCAGAATCACCCCAGCTATCACCCCCTTAAAGGACTAACACTCTTTCTGGGACGCCCTGTATATATGTACAAATATTGATTCGACGACTCAGGTTTATCGATAACTAGTCTGTGAAACGTTTCTGGTACGTTGTTTCGTGTTGAATAGTTGAGTCAGTTCGTTTTGCACCGAGGAATTGGCACTTGATACGTTCAGCTGTATTTTCGGAACAGTTTGTTTCTTTTAGTTTCGTTTATACAGTGGCACGCGAATGATGATCGGTAGAGAAAGAAGCTGTGATTTTAATTTATGCGTTATCGGCTTATTTTGAAATTTCATTCTCTTTTTTCTCCTCTAATTATAAAAACAATGTGTATACATGAAAGTAGAGATTTCTGAATCTTCAAGGTACAAAGCAGGAAATTTCAGGCTCCTGCTTGTACATGGTTTAAAAAGTCTTGCTAAGACTGAATTAGATTTATTGTACTTATAGTATGTTCCAAAATTCAAAGTATGAATTTTAGTATGAGGAAGCCGATATAAAAATGAATTGTTGACAAAGATAATATTCATGGAATATGATATATTCTATTATATAGAATATGATATTATATATACATCATTCAATAAAATCAACGAATAATATTTTTGTATTTTCAATCTTTGTCGAAGCTTTGGAACAGTCATTTCAATCTGTACTTCATAATTTCATTTTTCACTTTCTTTAACCTTTAACTCCCCCTTTCCTTCCTTTGTAACCGGATTCATTGGACGAGCATGCCGAGCAAGTGCAAGAAACTGGTTGAGGAACTTGTTTCTTTAATACTTTAGAATCTTCACACGTCAGTTCAATAATCAAACCCCTGTATTTTGTTGGCTGACAACACTGGCAATTTAGTACTTGACTCCAATTGTCTGCAATTAAAAGAACAAACAATTAATCTATTGAAAAAAACATTTCATAGAATCACTTTGACAACGCCTTACCTATGTCAAAGTAAGAGGTAGATTCACAGGCCCCACGACACTCTGTGATGCCTTCTATGGGTTGCAAGTTCTTACAGACACCATGTATCCTATGTTGCACATTGAACATACCTACTGTGCTCTGCGCATCCAAAACATCAGCAGCACATAAATTGACCTTCTGATTGTAAGACGTCAAATTACACATCTTACAACAGTTATCCGTGTAAACTGAGGTAACTGGACAATGGGATATGTCAGGGCAAACTGCTGAATTGCTGGTAATTGATAATTGGTCACCTTGTTCCATACAGGTGTAAGAAGTACAGTTATCAGCGGATGACCAAGTCGCTCCAGGTTCATATAACATGTCTCCAACTACGCAATAACTCTGTTTACATTTCCCACAACATTCTCCATCCTGCGGTTCATAGGTCCAGCCAAGAGAACATTTCTTGGCGCAAGATTCCACCTCTTTGTACTTTGTCCCATTTGAATCCAGGGCGCAAACTTCTGTGACACAATTATCCTCCGTAGACTTCCACTTGTCTCCAGGTTTATATATAATATCATTGTAACGACAACCAGTTTTAACAAACTGTGGGCAACACTGGCCTGGAATGTACTGCTTCTGTATTTCAAACTCAGCCTCCTGCACAGGGTCTATTTCTAGGCATTTCTCTGTAACTGATTCTACGTACACAGTATCATTGGTGGATACGCAGGAGTACTTTGTACAGAAATCAACAGAGTACCATTCTTCCCCCACGTTTTTCAATTCATCACCGACAACGCATGCCACTGGAATGCATCGTCCGCAACAGTTGATGCTCTTATTATCAGTGGGACGATACTTAAAGCCAAGATCACAAACGGTGCTACATTCTTGCACCTTTGCTTGCTTCTGGACCCCATCCCCATTCTTTATGCACTCCATTAAAGTACAACTGTCTTCAGGGTTCGGTTGCCAGCTTTCACCAACGTTGTACATTCTCTCCCCATCTTTGCAAGCAGTTCTCTCAAAACTGGGACAACATTTATCCTCTGCCACAACTTCCTCCAAAACGAAATCAGATATATCCGGGTGATCCACAGCTTTTAGACATTCAGTGGTAAAACACTTTGGTTTGGGACCTATCTCAGAATGTTCACAAATACAGGAAGTACACTTGTCTTCCATCCATTGCTCCCCTAACTTCCTCGCTACCACATGCTCGGACATTTCAATTTGTTTGTTCGTAACGTTATACAGACACAGATCTTTTGCAGGTACACAGTCGTATTTAGCGCAACAAGCGTTCGACTCCACTTTGCTTTTCAGTTCATAATACTCTGGGCATACCGGTGCTGGAGGACAGGTTTCAGGTTCACAGATGGTCATAAACCTTGGACAACATCCGGACGTGTTTGTCACCTGCACAAAGCCAGGCTGAAGCTGCTCGACTTGGACAGAAACTTCATTGAGGAAAGGACATTCAGATGGTGGCAAGCATTCGCAGATGAACTTCTGGCACCCGTCAGCACCGATGGACACTTTCATCATTTGTCCATAACCACATTCAGGCATCTGGGTCTCCTCGGTGCAGACCGGTGGCAAAGTTGTTACCATCTTTGGAAGACAGTAGTATTTGGGGCAACAAGCTTCTTCTGTTCCATTAACAACTACAGGTGTCATGTCCTCCTCGCAGATGGTGTCTACAGCTAGACACTCTGTTTTCTGACAATTAATAGTTTTCTTCTCGCAGGTGCACTGAGTGCAGACATCTGGGGACCAAGTATCACCCTCGACGTGTCCCTCTTCATCGCAAAGGAAACATTTCTCCTTTGGAATGCAGGTATCATTGTGAGATATGAAATTGAGAGGACAGAAACAGCCTTCTTCGAAATTCGTTGGGCATAAAGCATTGGTGATTTCATTAATGGTGTCACAAGTTTCTTTGCAAGCTGGACCACATGGTCGATACTCCAGATCTGAGAAGAAAATATTGATGTAATTATTGAAACTTTCAAGAAATTTAGGTAGAGAAATAATGCTTACGTGGGGGACAAGTAAAAGGACATATTTCACTGCTTCTCCATATTAGACATACTCCCATTGTCTGGCATTTCCTGGCATATGCTTCAAAACTATCACAATAACCACCTCCGGAGCATAGATTATCTTGACAGGCCATTAAATAAGGCATTGGATCAACGAGATTATGGCACTGACCAAAGTCCATCGTATTTAATAGTGTTCTGCATGGATCTTGGTCCGCTGGTGGTAGGATACACTTGCTTTGATTGTTGGATGTACACGCACCCATGTCTAAATTAATACCACGAGGAGATTCAGTGACCAACCAACTTGTACCAAAGTCTTGCGTATTATCAGTAATCTGCAAAGGAACAAATTAATTTACATTATTAACTGACATTATGTTTGTATCTAATAGCGTTGAAAGTATGACATTACCTCTCCATCTTGTCTCTTCAAGTCATCATCGGTGTCTTCATTGCAATTACCACAGAGACCTTCCATCGTACCCCCAAAAATATGAGAAGGAAGCGTAAGGGTAAATGCAAAATTAGGCTGATAGCTAATAATTTCTAATTGAATCGAAGGAATCAATAAACGTAACTTTTCTGAGGGCCATTGCTCTAAATTCAACCAAGATGCATTATAAGGAAAATCACTGATCTTTGACCCATCCACTTGAACTTCAAATTCTTGGGACGGTACACCTTCCTTGATTTGAACAACGTGCTCTTGGTACAAAATTATGATGGCCTCTGTACATGTACCGGTGTTGCAAATCCCATTTGAAACCAAAACTTGATAAGCATAATCCTGCGGAGCCCTTTTACTTTCAATGTTTCTAGATAACACGTATGTGCAATTTCCATCGAACTGAATGTTTTTCCTATCGAAACTGATGAACTTGGAATTTCCCAACCATTCGCAGGTACAATCTTTACACTGCATAGGTGGCACACACTGATCACCATTGCGCACTGTTCCCTCAGGGCAGAAACAACCAGAGAAACACACCCCTTGCATCATTGGACAAGGGTCTATCTGCTGCAAATTGTCGCAGCTGGTCTCACACTTATTTCTGCAAATTGAATCGCTCATAGTATGAAATATTACTTCATCAATCTTGAAAACTTACCTGAAACAGTCTTTATGCACAAGGGGTGTAGGACAAGAGACAGGACAGTCATGAATGCTTCTCCAGGTCGACAAGTCTGCATTCAAATTACCAGCCTGGCATTCAGTGACAAAGCTAGTCAACAAACGACAACGACAATCATTATACGTGTGATTACCACGTAAACAATTGCACGTGCTTTCCATACAATGAGATATGAATTTCTCTAGATCCACAATGTTTGAACACTCTGCTAATGATGCATCTTTAACTATATTGCAAATTTTCCAACTCTCTTCTTGTACGTAATGTGGACAGACCTAAGATGTTATACATATTTAATACAAGAGGAATTTTCATAATTTTTTTTTTTTATTTTGGATCTATTGACAAACCTGTGGATCACATTCTGGTACCCCTTCCATCATCCAACTGTCCCCAAACTCTACGGTGCTTCGTGCTTGATTCCCATCCGGCAATTGTCTGTCATTCATGGAATATCCATCAAAATATCCGCATAAACCATCTACTTTACCAGCCAGCTTCGTGGAGACTCCCAGTTTCACGTTGGAATTTGAATCCCAGATCACCCAGAATCCATAATAATTGGATACTACATAGGTTATGTCGCCGATAGATGATATCTTGAAAGAAGGAAACCTGTCGCCAAATCGAGCTACCTGGTTTGGCGTGAAACTATACTGATTGATATCCACATGCATGTCTGGATATAAAACAATCACGTCTTCGTCCAAGGTTATTGCTAACACTCTGGCACACTGATTATTGTGTGCATCGCATGACTTTTCCACTGTAAAAAATAGAGTTTACAATTTGTAATTTAATATACAAAAATTATACAAAATACTTACACGTTATGTACCATTTGTTGGCAAACATATCCCGGGCCAAAATGTGGTTACAGATGTCATACTTGTATTCTAATTTATCAAACGTGGTGAATGTTCTTCCTGTTACATTGCAGACAACCTCTTCCGGTGCTGGGGGCTTGCAAGTGTACTTTGGACACTTCTGAAGTTTGTACATACTCATCTTTTCATAGACCACAGCGTAACCTGGTGGACAAGACACTTCTGGGCAAGTATGCGGTGTGTTCTTATCAAGAATTGGCGGTGGTTTATTGGGCACACAAGTGAACTGCGCGCATTCTGTCCCACTTTCAGATTCTTTCTCTTCGTTGTACTTTGAATGTTGCATGGATTTCCTGAATAAATGTATCCTCATCAATTGTCACATAAAAATAAAATGCAGCTATAATTTATGTTACAATACCTCAATCCTTTCATTCTCAAAGAATGTCTGTGCAGAGACTTCGCTCCACCTTTCATTCCATGAGAATTTGTGTAGCGTTGTGACTTCATAGATGACTTCAAAACTGTCCTGTAGCCTGGTGGACAAACTGGATCCTGACACACAGTTGGTGCAACTAAAAAATAAAATATAGAAATTATTTCTTGTACATTTTATGGTTTCATTGAATCTAGTACCTGATGTTGATATTATAGGTGTGCTCTCTGTTGTCTGTTTCAAAGTAGGAGTTGTTTCAACAACCTGTGGGCAATCCTTTTCATCGTCTGGACAATCTTGGACACCATTGCACCATAAATTCTCTTCGATGCAAACATCACTGGTTGGACAGTGACGGGTACCAGGAGGACATGGTTTACACACGCAGTTACACAGTTCATTAATCACTGGTCGCATTCCTGGTTCATTACATGCTTCACATTTCTTTGGCTGACAGAAGGAAATCCCACCCAAGGTGCATACACATTCCTGACAGTCTTCGCTCACCCACATTGCACCCACATTATAACTAACAATTTTAAACATTATAAATATATAGAAAAATATGCAGATCTATATGAAAAAGACATGCACTTACGAAATGTGTCCAACTACACAAGGACATTCTTGTTCAGTTACGCAGGTATCTCCATTCCACCAATAAGTTTCTCCGCATTTGCAGGTAATTTGATCTTCAACCATTATTCCTTTGCATATATTGCATACCAGAAATTTTTCTATTGTTCTTGGTGTGCTTTCCATAGCCTCAGTGGTTGTTGTAATGGGAGCTATGTAAATTAATTACAGCGGATCAGACAGAAATCCATAATATTATATTTTACGTAAAACACTTACGGTATGGCAAGAAGCAACCCAGAACCTCAAATTTCAGACCGATATGCTCATGCCATTTAATTGGTTGCAACTTTAGATACCTTGCGCTTAAAGGTCTATCAAAGTAGTTCTTTTTAACAGTTTCAGAGTCAAAGTTTCCCAAGAATTCTTGTTCGTAGCCATTTGTATCCATGACTGGATTCCACTGGTGGCCATCGTTGCTATAAAATACTTTGTACACAGTTGTCCATGTACCTTCACCACCTTTTGTTGCAATTCCTGTTAGATTACGTGGTTCTAAGAAATCAATCTCAATGAATTGATGTGGGTTATCCAATTTAGGATGCCAAACGCTTGGGGAGCTCAGCTTCAAGTTTGGTAATAGATCCGTGGAAGAAGAAGATGTTGAAAGTTGTTCAGGATAGATCAAACCATTGTCCACTCCCATTGGCTCATCGCACACTTAAGAAACAAATGAAGATAAAAATGTTGCAACTTTATATAGAATCTTTTTCATCTTACCTGGGCTTATAATTTTATCAGTTATCACTGTAACTGGAACAGTTTCAGTTAATGGAATAGTGGTAATCAATTCTTGGCAACCAAGTAATTCCACTCTTATAGCTATTCCATTATGCCAAGACAGAGGATTTATTCGGACAACTTTGGCTTCTATTGGCTCGTGAAACTTTTGCTCGACCGGTTTATATTTATTCACAGGACCACTGAATATTCGTGGTTGCTTCTTATCGTCTAGTACATGAGAGAATGAGTGACCATTTTCAGAGAACAGTACTTGGTAGCTGGTTACAAATTTATCTTCCACACCACTGCCTTGCAGGATGATACCATAAATTGGTTCAGGCTTTTGGAACTTTATGTCAAGCCTGGAAATGAACATAAGATGAAACGAATTCTTTCAGAAGTTATTTATAATTATATTTACCACTGATCAGTGCCAGCGTATTCAGGCTCCCAATATCCAGCATCTTCATTTAATACTGAATTCTCAGCTTGAAATGCTGGACCTTTGCTACTGCTTGCCTCGAATGAAACCTGGTCGCTCAAGTACTGAATTAAAGGAACGAAATTATTACTCTCACAATAGGCTGGTGGACTGACAGTACTAGGTACCACAATTGTAACTTCATTGACTGGACTTCTCGTTGTAGATTTTTCATTTTCAAACCTTTAACATGTAGAATTATTGCGTTAACTATGCATACTATATCACATTTTAAAATTGAATGAATGTACCCACAAGGGTGATGTTGGAGTAGTAGTTGTCTCTGTTTGTGGATATGTAATTGGTTTCTCAGTTGATTTCAAACACAATGACCGGTCACAAGTGTAATAGTTATTTAAACACTGACAGATTTCACATTCTGATTCTTTGATAACTGCACTAGGGAGAATGGATTGTCCATCGTGAGATTTACAAGTGCAGTCAGCTTCTTCAACGCAGGTCATTGAATCTCTCCAAAATTTATTGGGTGGACACACCGGTCTCTCCTCTGGGATGCATCCTAATTTTTCAGGTAATTAAAAATTAACATAATTCAAAAATTGAGCAACCGATTCATCTGGCATGGGACCTGAAAAATATTTTACCTGGTACGCAGTCAGAGTTACCATTGCATGTACCTTCCTTCAACAAAATGTAATGATAATAATCACAGACTTTATTGCAATCTATGGCACAGTTACTCCACGTTTCTCCTTCTTTGCAAGCTTCTAAAAAATCAATGATTCTCTTGTAACAAATAAAGTATTAACATTGAAATATAACAAATCTGATCATACTGGTAGTTATGATATTCTTTCCCAAAGTTGTGTATTTAGTCCATTCTGTTTTGGTTGATGTTTGCTCAACTGAACACTCGGGTCTTATCTGTATAACGCTAGCTGGCCAATCACAGACTTGTATCTGTGGATTGTAAAACATATTTTCACCACAGGATTTCTCTACAAATTCGTTTCCATTGGGTCCAGGTGAACACTGGTAAAATAAACGACAATCCATGGGATGGGGTTTGTAAGGTTGTTCCATGTTGCATTCTTCAAACATTGCATTCACTGTGCTTGATATTCCTGCCAGGAAAATGAACGTATTATTACATTAAATTAATTGCTATAAATTACATATAACATGTACCTAGTTTTTCTGTGGTAGTCTCTGAACATTGACATAGAACACTAATTTCAAAGTCGATGCATGGGTGTTTAGGCTGAGTCTGGCAATAAAGACCGTGCTCCAAATTACACTCCACGTCCAGGCCAGTTTCTTTTGGTGTTAAATGACCTTTCACTGATCTACATCTTATCTCAACCATGTGGCTTCTGTCACATACTGCAGATCCCTCTATACTTGCCTTTAAAGAAGACAAGGTACATTTATAAGTATCACAAAATTGAATATATAAAAATTGAGCAAATTATTACCAAGTCAAGTAGTGTAGGCAAAGGTTCAATATCCTTAATTTTCTTCCCTTTAATTCCTGGATCTTGATTTATCCAAGCGGTCCAACCATCTACACATTTCTGTGGCTCTTCTAATGGCACAGTACTTGCAGCAGTTGTGGTACAAGGTTCTCCTTTGCACAATACTTTACCACGACTACAATAACACGTTTGGCAATCGTCGCTTTTAACATTATCACCCTCATAATACGTTACCTGTAATACAGATTGTCGTCACTAGTTAGAAAGCTTCTTATTTAGACTTTTAACATACCCCTTCGATTTCAATGCAGAAGGATTTACAAGTTTCCTTTGGCACACATTCTGTATAGCTATCGTTGGTGTATACTTGATTCTCGGGACAGGATTTAGTGGAGCACCCCTCGACACACGTGTCCTGAGAGCACAAATGAGACTGGTCCTTCAGGGTCATCAAATTGTCACAAGTTTCACGAGGGCAGGTTGTAACACATGGTGAGTATGAACTGCATTTCTCATCGCATTGTATGGGACAGAGTTCTTGGCTGCGCCATTTTATGGGGACACCTTTGGCGTTGCATTCATGTGCATATGCTGCCAAGGCGGTGCAAAGACATTCGCAGTCACCTCCTACAACAGAAATTCATTTTATACTATGGGGTAAACCAATTCATTCTATTTTAAAGCAACCTAGTTTTACCTGCATCACAACCACACGTATCAAAAATACAGTTGCGTATATAGTTTTCTACTTCAACTTCTGAATGACATGGCTGGAACACAGGTGACTTCAGTATTCCACATTTTTGTACGGACCATAGATTTCGTTCTGGATGTTGTTCGCAAGGGTCTTTGATGTCTTTAGGCTCCGGGCATAAATCATTCTTCTTCCAGGAATCTCCAAACAAGTTGGCAGACACCTCTGATATGCCACCGGAAGGTGTTTTGAAATCATCTTCACTGTTATCATTATAGTCACCGCAGAGCCCCTTTGTACGTCCCTTCCATTTGGGATCTAGCTTTACGTATACTCTGGTGCCTGGAAATAACATTAAAATATAAAAATAAATTCTTGTAATTTTAAAATGTTGAGACGTTAAGAAAATTACCCCTATCCCACTGCAAGGTTAATCCCATGTCTGGCACATCAACGAATACAAACAAGTCAGTTGTTCTCACTACAATCCTTTTGAAGTTTCCTGAAGGAAGTTCTTTCCCTCTGGTGAATACAATGCTTTCTGGACTTTCATTGCTGCCAACTGTCAAAGTAACTGATTTGGAACACGCTACCCCAGTTGTTCCACAAGGTACATTCTGAATGGAAACGTCAAAAGTGTCCACCTTGCTTAGAGAACCTTTAACTAGAAGATAGTCACACATTCCTTGGAAGTCGTAAATCTTTCCATCAAACGTTTTATAGTGCGAATCACCCCAAGCGGTACAAACTCCTGTTGATAATGATTTTGGTATATAAATGAGGATACAAATTCATGAGATGTTTGAGTATTTCATAGCGTTACCTGCACAGGTTCTATCTGTACACTTCCATGTTCCATTCATGCATTCACATGTATTGCACTCATCCTGTATAACAGACCCTTCTTTGTAACTTTGCCCTCCATGATGACACGGACAGGATTGTTCTTTAATACAGTTACCACCCGGTTCATCTAACACATAACCAAGTTTGCACACGCAGCCTGATTTACAAACAGATGACTTCTGAACTGGTTTGTGCATATTGCGACAAGTTCTAGGTTCTGCTGGTGCGCAATCTGTGACTTCTAGATGTTTACTTGCTACGCAAGAAGCCAGAAGTTCCTTGACGGCTGGATATTCCTTAATTTCATCCGGTGTTGCCTCCTGACAGTTCCAAATCCCACCTATTTGAAAGATTCTTATACAGTTGCATGTAAATCTTCAATTAATCAAACGTTATTTCAATTTATAGAACCTGCGCAGGTACAGAGTTCCTGAGCCTTGTTTCCAGGCCTGATTTCCTTGTGTCCTGAGTTGAATTCTAACCCTTGATACGTGCATGGACATTGTCCAATTGGAATGCAATTCCCATGAACATCCAGTGTTTCTCCTTCCGGACAGTTGCATCCTTCCACGCACTCCTGTTTGCAGTCCTGATAAGAAGATATATCTCCGCATGACCTATACATAACCAAATAGTATTAGATTTTCACAGTTTGATAGATTTGTAAATTCAAAGTACCTTGTACAACTATTCCCACAAATCTGGTAGACTTGATTTCCAGGACAGTGTATTCTACATTCATTTATTTCATAACGCCACATGAGTTTTATTCCTGCGGCAGCACACTCTTTGGCGTAAGCTGCTAGCATGGGGCACAGACAGGATTCAACTTCAACCTTGCAGGAACACATGTCGAACAAACAATCCTTGTGAAATGTATCCGGATCCACGTGCCAATGACAGCCTGAAAAGAAAATCTCTGAGTAACCTGAAATCAAAATTATAATAAATCTGAATTTATTAGACTCTACCAGCAAAGATGTCACTGTACAAGTAGGAGCAATATTGTTTAGCAGTATCTCGTTTTTGTGGATCAAGGTCGCAAGGATGATCCGGCTCCTTTTCAGGAAGACTGGGACAAGAATCATCAGTTTTCCATTTGTTGGCAAAAGAGATAGCCATGTTTTCAGTGTCACCCTCTGGTGTAATGAAATCGTCCTTCTGATTTTCAGAAAAGGTACCACAGAGTCCCATAGTTTTACCTAAAAATCATAATGAAATTAGAGACAGAACCTTTACACAAATAAATTCAAGAAGCTTAACAATGAGTCAACCATGAAACTGAGGAGGAACGTTGATGTAAACGCGAGTGATGCCATCCCACCAGATTTCCAGGTCATTTGGTAAATGAATGACCAAGAATATACTGCTAGCAACACGTATTCTGACGCCCTTAACAACTGTAGGATATACTGTTAAGTCATCTCCATTAATTAATACTTGGCGGTGTTGTTTGAGTTTCACAGACACATCCTGATAATTAATTGTTACGGTCTTTGTACACGATGGAGCATCAGATGGTACGAGTCCCATATTCTATAAGGAAAATTAAATTCTTCATTGATATTACTTTGTATAAATATCCTACATTAACAGTGCAAGCGACGGACCTCTGATATAGCGCCAGAACAAGGAACATTTTCACTCTCAATGCTGTAATCATCATCCTTCATCAAATAATATTTGCACTTCCCCATGAAATCATAATGTTTTCCATCAAAGGTAGTATAATGAGGATCACCAACGACTGCGCATCTGGCACCGCATTGGACCTGAGTGCATAACCATTTCCCAGAGGAACAGGTGCAGGTGTTGCAATCCTTTTGCACGCTCTTGCCAGGCTGGAACAGTTTTCCTCGCAGTCTGCAGGGACATTCATCAGGATACACACACCTCCCTTCGTGAGCCACGGTTCCTTCTGGACAGAAACAACCCTCTTCACAGTCGTCGACGTTCAGTTTCCTTTCCACTCCTGTCCAGCAGGATGATTCCGTCTTTGGGCCACACGACATGTACACTCGCCCGTTATTACACATCATGGCTGCGAAATAAACCTACGTTAGCTTTCTTTAAATTATTATTTTGTTAGGTTCTGATCGTTGGGTAACTTGCGACAGGCCTGTCCAAGTAGGGGAATCCACTCCTGGAAGACATGTTTTGGGTCCCCCTCCAACGCTGCTCCTTCAAGTAAGATGGGACGGTTCCGACTACCAAAGACGGTAGGAAAGACGGAGAGACGGTAGTCGGAACCGCCCCACCTTACTTGAAGGAGCAGCGTTGGAAGGGGACCATGTGTTCCAGGAGTAATTTCCCCTACTTGGACAGGCCTGACTTACGACAAGTGTCGTCGTTTCTCCAACCGGACAAGGACGCAATCTTTTTATGAGCACATTGTCTGACGTAAACGTTCATAGTGTCACAGGCGCATTCCCTTCTGTCGCCTCGTGTACAGGCACAGAAATCCCATAAGCAGGCTTTCTGTAATTCAGAAATGCTGATTGTGCTGGAACAGGCCTGGAACCTCCTATCAGAGAGCAGTTTTGTGCAGAATAGAATAGCTTCTCTAGTGTTCACTGGGTCAGATTCGCAAGCATGACGAGTGTCTGGGTATTCGTCGCATGTTTCTGAAGGAATAAAATCAATTAATTAAGGGAGATAAATTAAAAATTGAATTATAATACCTCCAATTTTCTCTGTTCGCCAAGAAGATGCAAATGCTGCGATGCTTTTCATCTGTTCTCCATTTTTGCTTATCAGATCATCCTTTTTATTGCCATTCATGTTACCGCAGAGACCAGTTGTTTTATTCCACATGTTTTCAAAGGCTTCGACCTGCAGCATCAGAGCCCCATCCCATTTCAATTGAACCCCTAAAGAGTCCAACGTTACAACAATAAAATGTGCAGACATCTCTACTCTCAAATAGGAAAGTTGAGCTGGAATAGGCAGCAATTTGTTCGGCGTTCGAAATTCTGGAACTCCAGCTTCGTTCCGTGACAAAATATATTCTTTATCCTGAACGAAAATCTTGATGATCTTGAAGCAATCTTGAACCTTGCACCTTGGACTGTTCTCCACTATAATGGTGAACAGCCTGTTCTGCGCTTCCTGCACCAGAATGTAAGAACATTCGCTCTCAAAATTGAACACTGTATCGTCAAAAGTCTTGTAATTCACTCCACCCCAGGTGAAACAAGTTTCTGGCACTGGTCGTTTCTCTTCAATCAGTAACACGTTGTCCAGTGAATTGAATAACATCTGACATTAAACAAAACATTATTAAATGGAACACAAATATCCAATGTTTAAATCTTATGTATTTTATTACCGTGTTTGATGTCATATTGCTCTCATGATTGTTGTAAAAATCCTTGTCGTAGGTGGTTTTAACTAGTGGAGATTGATTCATATTAGAGCTAAAGATGTCTTGATAGGTCCAACTGTGATTGGTCTCCCTTACGTAGGAATTGTAGGTGGTGCCCAAAGAAATCACATTCATATTTTCACTATATTTGCACTGAGGAATCGGTTGTGGATGGAAAACACCTGTATCATAAGAACAGGTGTACGCAGTAGCTGGGGGGAATTCAAATTCTATTCCAGCAGGGCAATTCAGGGTGCACGAGTAACTGTCATCAACACTGCTACAAAAGAAGCCACCGTTGAAGCCCAGTTTTTCTCCATTGCAGGCATCAGCAGCTACGTAAAAACAGTAAGATGAAAATTTAAGAATTAAATGTATTAAATAATTGAATGTATATATAAACTTACAATACTGGCACTGGGAACCTTTATATGCCTGTGGACACTGGCAAAGGTTTGACGGAAGACAAATGCCCCCATTTTGACAAGGTGGATCACACACAGCTATAATAAGAAACATATTTATAATTACTTTGTGCACATATCTTAAATTTCTGAAGTACAACTGTAAAATTTGAACAAACGTTCGCAGTCAGGTACAGAGACCCAATCTTCTTTAGTGGGCTCCCAGTTTCCATCCTTACATATGAGATTGGTAACTGCGCTACCATCTGGAAACGTGAAATTCTTCATACAAGATATGGTGCAAGATCTAAACAAAATACAAGAATAATTATACATTTAATGCAACTATTTTGGTGACATCATTGAGATAGTTGAACATACTTTGAGTTGCAAAGCTTGTGAGAATTGAGCACTGGAGGAGGATAATTTAAGCATGGTTTATTTTCAAACTGGCACTGTGGTCCAGTGAAATCTTGAGGACAATTACACTGATGAGGTGCAACGCATACACCACTGTTCATGCACTCTGGCATACATATTGCTGAAAATACACCCGTTTACTTTAAAATTTTTGCTTCACAAACAGTAGTAAAAATAATTAATTAATACTCACGTTCACAATGAGGCATAGAGTTCCAATCTGTACCAACAATGCGCCACTGTTTATCAATACATATTATAGCTAATTGGTTCACCCCATTTGGGAATTTATAATTTTGCTCACAAGTTGCAATACATCCACTGTGGATAATGGGATTAATTAAAGACTGGATATTTAGATTTAATCGTTTACTAATTGAGAAAAAATTACCTGTCCATTGAGCATCGTATTCTACCATTTACAGGCACCTCAGGGTTTGCGATGCAACCCCCAGCAAATAATGGTTTCCTTCTACTCTTTGTCCTTTTTACTCCCACATAATCTGGAACTGCATCTCCATTTAATGAAATGGTTGTGCTGAAATATTGAAGAACATTATGAATTAGATTTGCATAAAGGAAATAAAGTAGAACACTTACTCTCCTACACGAGATGAATCAGCTGGATCACTTGCAACAATTGATGAACTGATCAAGATAATAATCACTGCTACGTTGACAAATATTTTCCAAAGCATCATAATGATTAATGAAATCCAATACAGTGGAACATCATTGAAAAGCTTACTCTCGCCGAATATGTGAATTAATACAATTGTTCTTTTATATATAACCACCTCTAAAAGGAAGCGGATAACCGATAAGTCCTGCTTGATAAATGAATTCGACGAAAAAATATGGGTCATTAGTGCAAATTAATTTGAAATAAGGATTCTTCTAAGAACAAGGCTTTATTTCTCCAAAATTAATACTTTTATTATTAAAGATTATAATTTATAAAAGCTTCTGAATAAAAACGTGTACCATATAAAAAAATACATAAATGTATACATAAAATACAGTAACAAATATTGTCGTTCAGAGTATAAATTTCTAACTACAAATGTTTCTTATGACTATACGCGATAATCTCTGGTAATTAGTAATAGATCTGAATACAAATGATCATCTAGATTTAATAACATAGAAACCCATTATTCCACATTCTTGACACATATTTAAAATTAGAGATAAGATTCAGTTATCACGGTTATTACAAGCGTTAATAAGTTACTAATTAGTTAGATAAGGCAACGATGGTGCAACAAGGGAAATGCTTATCAAATAACACCATTTCACTGGTCTCATAATTCGCAGTATCAATAGAATTCATGAAATGGAACGATATTATTGCGTAAAAAGTTAATTAATGTAAATAAACTATATAAACCATTAACAATCATTAAACTGTCTCATGTAGCTAACATTATTAATACAATAATTATGCAATAAATATTGAAATATCAGATATCTATTAATTTCACGAATTTTTTTTAAATACCTTTGGAGAACTTCTCATATAAATTTCATACTTCTTATGTACAAATTGTATAAAAGTAACAATAAATATATAGGAGTATAAAAATTAATCAAACTTATCTAATTTCTACCGTGATAATTTTGAGCAATTAATTGCCCTGGCTCAGAATATTTCGAATGCCATATCTCATAATATGCATCACTGGAAATATTATTTAGATATGTGATGTTAAACTCCTCCTTCAGTGCAACCTTCCACACCTGAAAACAATATATAATTAATTCTGAGTACTTTTTTTTAATACAATAGAAAGTAATGAAATGATAGTCATACGTTTTCATCAGGTACAGAAACTGGTGCATTTCTAGTCCCAAAAATAGCTTCATTTTTGAAGACATGTAAATGATACAATAAATAATTCAATGTGTACATTTTGTCTGATTCAGCGACGTTGAAAGTAACAGACATAAAGGAACAACATTCGTCGTGTGCTGGATATAAGGCACGAGTCCAATAAACGCCAATTTTAGCAACACCCCATAAGAGAGACTGTAAGGAATACCCATGAAACGTACCCCTTAAATACTGATCTCTTGTATCAGATGGATGAATTCCCATGGTTGCTAAATGCTTAGCTGAAAATAATCAGGAGTAATTGATTAATTACATTAATTAAATGAATGATATAAATGAAATGAAAGAAAAATGTTTACCAAGATAATAATCTTCTTGTTTCCAATATTTACCACCAGTTATACATTTTTCAGAATTATCAAACATTGTGGTCAACTTTTTAAGAACTCCTTTACTGATTACATACCCAGCGTCAGCAGCATTATAAGATTGACCCCACATCACCACTGCATGGCCTAAATAATAATCGTCGGTATAATTTAGAGGGCCAAGCATATAACGTAAATTCTCAGGAATCACTAATGTGTCATCTTTTACAAATACAAGCCATTCCAAGGTTGCGTTATCCTTCCAAACATAGTTAAATGCTTCGCATAAAAGCTGCCAAGAGGACACAAGCTTTCTGTCAAAGTTTCTAACAGGTACTTCAGAATCTTTCTGTTGACCAAAGAAGTATATCTTGTTGCAATGCTTTCCCCAAGTGTCTTTGACAGATCTTGCTAGTTTAATTTTTTTCACAAAAACAATACAAGTAAGATGAACATTAGATTTCAACCAATCAGCTTCCAATCTTTCTTTCCCCTTAATTCCATAAAGATACGTATCCATGTCTATATCCTTTATCTTCACCTGTTGATTTTCCAACCATTTTCTATATGTTACATTTGCAAACCTATCTTTCACCTTTTTCTCTTCCCATAATTGGAAAGTGATCTCTTGACTAGTCGGTGTGACAGAAGTAAACCACTTTGAAAGATCATTCTTATTTGCGGTATAAGAATTCATGAAGGATCTTTCATAAATGGACATGTTATTAAATACATGTTGAACTGTAAGCAAGAGTAACGCAGAGAGAATTCCAATTCCAAATCCAACTAGAAACACGGAGCGTGATTTGAAACGATAAAGATGCATCTTATAGTTGTACCATTACTCTAATACTGCATCATAGTTTGCTGCCGGAAATATAGTCAGCTTGTGATCTAATAACATTAATTGACTCTCATTGATCCTATATGTGCTCGATTGCATTAGATCGTTTTATCCGTGACTCTCGGGTTGTTGAGTATCTAAAACAATCAACACATAAAAATGCTGAGAAGTATAAATAAATCGTCCGTAAATAATATGAAAATTTATTTCGATTATGCAAATTACTTACTCAATGAAAAACAATGTAGCTTGTTAATGTGTCGTAATAAATAATTCTTTTAATTATACTATTTTAATTATGCTGCTATGGTAATTCATATGAAACTGAAATAAATTAATACCGGATACACCTTCAGTGACATCGTTCACGAAGCCAAGAGGATTACCCAAAAAAAACTGAATAAATTAGGATCAACAGGTAGTATTATACACCTGTTACATGGAACATAACCAAACAGTAATATATAGAAAGTGATAATCTAGATTTATCATTATATAAACTTTGCTTACTATTGTAAACATCCATCATACAAGAGTTTTCTTATCGAAATTATAAAACACTTTCTACTTTAAAATTATATAACTGCTTGTTCTATATTCTGTATTCTACTGATTATATAAATACTAGACTTTGAAGAGTATCCATTCATAAAAGTATAGATTTTGAAATAATTTGAATGTAACAATTTTACTTTATACGTTGAAGAAGAATTATTTTTATTTATTATTAAGAGCAAGCCTCAATCTTACAATATAGAATTATAAAATATAGTTTTACATCTAAAAGAGAGATAAATTACTTTAATATGTGATGTATATACGCTTATTCTTATTTTCAGCTTTTTGTTTACCAGGTACTGAGTGAAAATATATAATAGATGAATGTATAATACGTGCATAAGAATTCAATAACAAAATTCTTGAAAGTAAACAGGGAACTTTTAGAATGCTGTATATAGAATCTTATGTATAAATTATATATTCATATCACTAGTTTTGATATTGCGTTATAAATATCGTAAAATTTATAAATATACGTTTAGTAGAATTTGAAAAATCGAAATCTTTTGGATAAGTCTAGCAAACTTTTGTTTCTCTTACAGCCAATTCTTAAAAGCTGACTTTACCCCTAATTTTAAAGAAGCCTAGGGCATTTCTATTATGTACCAAGGCACCTACGCCGATATAATTCTCTATGATAATCAATCCACTTCTTATATTACATTCTGATGGTAATAAATCTTTAATAGTCGAACGTAAACCTTCGACATCAAATTTCAATTTCTCCTCTTCCGATCCTACGGAAGACACGATGATGTTTGAAATTTCCAATACAATAAAAATAAACGTAACGTTAAATTACCTTTGTACCAAAATAAGGGGTGACTAGTGTAAGTGAGCCATGGTATATCTTTTGCAAAAGGATTCCACTTCTTAATCAATGGCAATGGATTACCCTTATTCCACATCAACCTTACCCCAGCCATGTTCCTTTTCCTAAAATAATAATTATAATTTAATAAGAAGAATTAACTGCTATCCTCAAACATTTATAAAAAGGGAGAAAGGTGTTAAAACATCTACAAATATCTTTACAATTATATCATACAGCATTCTACTAAAAAAGAAAGTTAGAATATCTATACATTTATTACAAATAATAGTATTAACATATTTCTAAATGAAGCAACAAAGGAATATAAAGCAGTTCTTTTTAAACAATAAGAGAGGTCTCAATTCTACTTAGGAACATCACGTGTACCTAGGTTCAAATTGTGCAAGTCCAGTACAAGAGGCAACAGAAGACCACTCTTGACGAACTGCACAATTAACTATTGATGACACCCCCTCTGCCAATCCATTTAATCGTCTAAAAATGGTTAAACATTATATTTTTCACATGTACAAAAATACATTGCATATGTTCCTTCACCCCCGTTATAATTTTATTTATTTACAACTTAATTATAGTACAGTAATTTTAAATTTACTTACGGTGCTAGAGACGAGGATGGGTAGACTAGTTCGCCCGAAACTAACGTATCAAGTTGAGATAAAGGTATTCGATTGTATTCGAGTACTTTTAAAGAAATAAAATCATATTTGATAGAATAAATAGCCTTTTTAGTAAGCACTACCAGTCTTTCTTTCTCGATATCCCATAAGCTTATTCTATAATCAGAATTTATACAGCGATTACTTAGGGTACAATGAATTAATTGCATGGATTTGAAAAGTTCTTTACTCGGTTAAACTTTACTTCAGGGGACACCAACATTTTTTGGGTATGGATTCCATCACTGTATTTAAATTACTTATAAAATTGATACAGTAGAAGCAATAAACAAATGCATGGGCTCTCTAAAATAAATATAAACCTAACTCAGGCAGTATCAATTTTACGGTTTGACTAAACCCGCTAAAATGGTCGGCCCTGCTGCCAGCAGCTAGCAACAGCGTTCATTGGATAAGAAGCCAATATGGCGTCACAGTAACGTAGCGAATGCACTAAAATTGTCAAACTTGACACGCTCATAACTTTTTAACCACTGGATTCCTAAAGTTAAGACTTGCATTTTTGGATTCTACACATCAAAAACTATGAATTAAAAGAAAAAAAGATCTAAAATTTTGTGTCCCCTAAAGTAAAGTTCAACCCTTTACTCTGTTAACAGCCAGCTTCCAGCTATGTCTTTCTCTTCTTCATTTATTAAGCTGTCTTGGCAATCTTTTATAGCTCTTGCTACAACTTCATTTCTATCCGTGAAGAAAGAATGAATATCTAGATGTTTAAAAGGAATAGTGGATACATCTTTTGATGTTGGAACTTGATTGGATATGTTGCCTTCATTTTCTCTGTTTCTCTTCTCAACGTCAATCCCTTTGAATAAAAATACATTCATTTAAGATCTGATCCTGTTAAGGTAGCACAATTGAATTATTATAAAAATCATTTAATGAATGATTTTCTTACCAGTGGATGCAGAGGTTGAATTACTAAATTCATTGCCATCAAGATCTTTTGTGATCTCTAAGGTGGCTGTTTCAAAATTTCCCGCTGGCCCCTCATCAAAGTATGTTTCATCCATCGTTCTAGGTTATGGTTTTCTTTTCTGCTTCGAGAAAAATATCGTTATCTTTCGTTCCTAGACGTGCCACGTTTAGATAATTGCACAGATATGTCACAGCCTTTATTTTCTCTCGATCAGCGGTTTCTGACAAAACGAGCAACGCGCAATTATTCAATAAATTTCAGTTAACAATTTGACATTTTTAAGTAATCGCGAAAGGCGCCATACTTATGAAATCTAAATGTGGCATTGATAATGTTATCTTCAGATAGTAGAAGACTCCCAACTTCTTGATTACAAAAGAATAATGCTATTGTTATACATGTTTGACATTGAAAATTGAACTAATTTAGAATATTTATGTATCTTTATATCCACATGTTAGTTTTGAATAAAATAATAAATATGATTGTTATAGTACACCAATGAAAACAATATTGTAAAAAGAGAATAAACAGACTTTTGTAATAAAATTTTATTTTAAGTTCTTAAGAGTACATGTTTATATAAATTCAACTTTCTTTCTTTTGTACCATTCATTTAAAAGAAAACTGCAGCTAAAAATGAAATACTTGCCAACATACAATGGCCACTTCTGTATTAATCAACTTATATTCAACAGTTTTCTTTTGCAGGTGTTAATAATGATTGGGCAATCCTGTACATTTCTAAAGTACTGATATTTATTCACAGTTTTATTCATCAAATATCATAAATATATGTATACTGTATACTCAAGCTGTACAAAGCATCAGCCTTATAAAAATGTATTTGAACGTAGCTGATTATAATCTTACATCGTATTTGTACAAGTTTGAATTATTTGTACACATGTAACATTAAAAGAAGAATGTACAGTTATTAATACTTTGGTTAATGGCTTATTATCTTTATACAACGTTACACTCGACACCATAAAAAATATAGTTCATAGTTACTGAACGCAAATAGTTTGCAAAATATCAAACTCGTTAATAGAAAATAAATATCCTATATTCTATGTAAAAACTTTGGTATTTGTTACCTTTTTCATTTTAAGTAGATTACATTAGTCCAGATATACTTAACTATATTGTACAGTATCATTAAATATTTTTAATATATATATATATATATGTACACACACTTTAAAAAAATCCTTGCCTTTTGAAAGACCTCCTAATTTACCTCTTTTATCAATAGTATCAAAGTTACATGTATACTACCTGTGCGATAACCGAACATCCTAACATGTCTTTTTTTCAAAGTGTATTGTCCAGCTGATTTCCCATTATTATACTTAAGAAAGTTTCTGCATCAATGGTACCTTGCGTCAGTCTTATCATCAACTTAGTTTAAGCGTAGTAAGGCATCATTATGTGCATCGTTAAAAAAAAAAGAGACAACAGAGACAAAGAAACATAGAAACCGAGATATCGACTAGCAATTGAAATAGATAGGTTAACACAAAACAGAGATTATCTCAGTGCGCGATCATTCGTAATTATTTGTAGTATTGGACATCATCTATCATATTGTCCGACGAAGTCAGAGTTAAACTGCGTTCTTCGTGCATTCCCTTGGCATAATTGATTTGTTGCGACACCTATAATAATCATAATGCATTATAATAAAAAATAACAGTTGCAACGATTCGATACACTCTTCCCAGAAAGAATGTTAGTCCTTTAAGGAGGTGGTAGCTGGGGTGATTCTGAACAACATTTTCGCAAAGGAAAATTCGAAGCTTCGTTTTTGAATTATTAAGGAAAAAACACCGGCCAATCGGAGCGCGCATAGCGCGCGGGCTCAGGGACGGCAGCCTCGACTCTTGAGCCCGTGCGCTATGCGCGCTCTAATTGTCCAGTGTTTTTCCTTAATAATTCAAAAACGAAGCTTTAGACAACATTTTCGCAAAGGAAAATGTTGTTCAGAATCACCCCAGCTACCACCCCCTTTTAACTAACACTCTTTCTAGGACACCCTGTATACTTACTCTTTTGGCCACCTCTTCGTTGTCGCATCGCACCTTGGGTCTCCTTAATAGTTCAGGACCGTCCACGTTAACGGTTATCGTTGAATCCGATCTGGATATTAATTCTATGTAGTACAACGTGACATCGTTACTTTCCACTTTATGCATCGGCTGACAATACAACAAATCCGCTAAACTGACTTCAGTCACCACCCCTTTCGTACCGCCGGATATCACGCGGACACGATCGTTCGACACGAGTACCCTTAGGTTCTCCGTGCCTGTACGCAGGCACTCGTACGCTACGAACAATTCCGAGTAATTATGATCGTTTATTATGTAGAGAAACTCTTGACCCTCCGCTTGTTGACGATTATAAGGAGGCAGTAGGCCGGCTGGACCACTAGCGACACGAGGGTATCTATCTCGTTTTGGTATTGTACGATGAGCGCTGCAAAGAAGAGTGTTACAAACTTGTTCAATATACGTTACTATTCTTCGTTTAATTTTATCTACCTTCTACTTGTCTCTCGTACAGCAGTGGCAGTTTCTGTGGCAAGGTCCAACACCCCCACCACTGGTTTTGTGATTGTTCCAACGACCCCCTTACCAAAACCAGCGAAGAAACCCTGAAAGCATTTATTAATTAATTTCTTGTAACGTTTTAACATATAATTTGTGATGAAACATACAGGAAATCCTTCGTTTGCAGCACCGTCATAAGTCTGCTTGAAGATACTCGTTACCCCTCCTAGTAAGCCAAAGCCAAAACCCTTTAATCCAGCCACCAAGTGGTCGCTACTACCCGCAGTATTCGCGCGAATCCTTTGTCTAGCTTCTTCGTGCCTTTCGTCCATTATTACTCGGCCCAATCCATCGGACAATGACTCTGTCACCTTGGCAGCTGAATTTGATATACCATGAGTGACGTTTTTCACTAATGTTTTTACGCTTCCTTCATAAATCAAGCCGGATACACCTTCGGTGACATCGTTCACGAAGCCAAGAGGATTACCCAAGAAATCTACAGACCCTAGTATTACAGCAGCTTGCCATTTCAGTTCCTGAAATGAGGGAATAAAATATCAACATCGATAGCTAACCTAAAAGATTGATACATTTTGAATATTAGGTGTACAAATTAATTCGATGCCTTTTCTGACTTATTTTTAAGAAGTTATAGCAAATTATTGAATTTATCGTTATCGATTTCATATTCTCGCGCCATTTTTCAAATACACAAAACCGCGGGAAAATGTTCGAATTCAAAATAGTAACTAAGAAAGTGTAATATTAAAGGTACCGAATTAATTTGTGCGCCTGATAAAAAGATTTTCGTGATCGTACATCTTTGTAATGCTTTACAATGGAATGCACTAAGAATTGAGTACTTTCGAAGGGATGTTTCTTAATGAATGGCTCTAATTCAATAGTGGCGTCTTCGAACTTGATCAATGTTAGGCCTAATTGTCTTTTTATTGCCTGTAAATGGCGTGGTAGTTTTGTGGTGGTAAGCACGCTTAATTTCACCTGTAACAATAACGAATCATAAAGAACATGATTCCATATTCAATTGAAATGTTCCAATTAAGGACACTCAATTAGAAGCATGAAATTTAGCAAATTTTTAAAGATTTTTTTTACAGAATACCAATTGTTCAATCTTTTTGTAACTTAGAGGCTTACTTATTACACATTTAAGTTTCTACAAAATATTTTTGTTTCTTGAAAAAATTTAAGAATAGAAACTACAAGTCCTCATATATTTCAGATGAACGTCTTAAACTTTTTCAAGAAACAAAAATATTCTGTAGAAACTTAAATATATAATAAATAAGCCTCTAATTGAACAATTGGTATTCTTTAAAAATCTAATTAACTGTCCCCCCTTAAATCTGCACGTACTTGGCTAGGAACAATTTTCAATGCACCGAAGTAGTATCGCTTGGCGTGGGCGGCGGACACCTCTGAAATAAATCTCTGCGCTTTGAAATCATTTTCATCCACCGGCACCTCCAGTTCCGATCTTCCCGCCCCGATGAACGCAGCCAATTTTAAGATCAGCTTCTCCTCCAAATGTATACAAAGAGGCTTAATCGTAACGATCACGTGTTTGTATATCTCAGCGTTCTGGCTTCTAGACTTCAATTTCTCAGCGACCACGTGTATAGCCGGCCTGTGCTCGCTTTCGACGCGGGCTGCCCGTGTCACGTATAAGACAGAGCTGCATTGCGCTTCAAACAATTGATTGTCAATTTGTATGTCCTCCACGCTCAGATCTAAAGTGATATTTGCGGGAGTCTGTACGAGTTCCAAGGAGATTCCAGCTAAACGAGCAAACAGCAACTCTTCGACCGGCCTCCGGGAAACAATCGACAATCCCAGGCCAGCTATCAGATTCACCTTCAATTCTAATTCGCGAGAATTTAATTTTTCAGCGTCGGTGTATATCTGCGTTGGACGGTGGCTCACAGCGATGTGGGACCAGTCACGTTCTTCTAATAAGGCAAAAGTTTTCTTCTGCAAATAAAAGCGAACCAATTAATATATTCATCTGTTTCTAATAAATATTTGTTTCAATATTTTTACCCTTTCTTTGATATCCAACACCTGTAACACCCTGGTTGGACCATCGGTAGTTACTCTGATTGATAAGAAGCCAGATCCTGGTCTCAATTTTTGTCTTCCCACGCGTTGTTCAATTGGAGGAGGACTGGAGTGAGTCTGGGGGCCCAATACTGCTTCACTCCCTAAAAATAACGATTACAATGTTTCTGTATAATGTATGCATCAACGATCATGTGAAAGATTCAAAGATAATGTGCATAGTTAAATAGTAGAAAGTTGTGTTGTATCTGAATGTGAGCCTTTGAAGCGTTCAATTGTGCAGAGCGCTAGTGAAATAAAAAAACAAGCGAAAGCTTAAGCGCATAGAGTACTTATATGTAAACGTATTGAATAATTGAATTTTAATGTACACCGGAATCTATACGTACACATTTGCCAACGGGCGACACTGCCGCCTGCAACATTTATCATTGTCAATTTAAGATTCACGGGTTTGCGACGATAATAATTTTGTAAAAGAGCAGGATAAACGATAAGTAAAAATATAATTTGTATTCTGATCTTTATAGTCACGTTGTTTAGATTAATTCTTGGAACTTTCCAATTTATTCAATATAATAAATTAAATAACAGGATGAACAGCAATCTTAATTCACGTTCAATAATAATACTCGGTAAGCAAATCAGGTCTGTGGAAGCTCTGCCAAATAAACAAAACAAAATGACAACAAATGGGCCACACGCAACTGGAACCATTTTCATAACCCCACAAATCCAAATTTAACTTCCTGAACATTCTGACTGAAATGGAGTTATTAAAATTGATCCAGTTATCTGGAAAATTTGTGTAGAGGCGATAAAAAAAAGGAACAGGTAAAAACAAGCTATGCTAATTAATTATACAAAGATGTTGGTGCGCCAAACCTTCATGTAATCCCATAAATCCATCCTTTGACTGAACGCACATGTTCTTGTGCGCACAACACAATCGTCCATCATCGGTGAACCGCCAAGTTTGCGTTGATCTTCTTCTAGGATCAGGTTTCCTTAACGCAAGGGCACAATAGGTAAAGGGTTGTGGGGCTGTGCCTGCTATGTCCAGAACTAACACCGTCTCAGGGGTTTTTGAATGTTTGTCTCTAGGTGGGCTAGAGCCTAAAGTTGTCGAATACATTAATTTAGAATAATCAGAAAGAAAACATAAAAATCAATTTTCCATCTGCCTACCTTCGTGTTGTAACTGACCATCACCGGTCATTCTCCAAAGCTGTGATCTAGCTCCGTACTGCTTCCTTCTAAGAGCAACCCAGCCACCGGGGCCAGCTTCTAAAACCAACCTTTGAGTTTCAACGTCTAAAGGATCAAGACCGCCCTCTCCTGTTCCCAGATCGCAGTCTGTCTTGAAGGTACCTATTCCCAACAATCAGGAGAAATTGATAAACCTAATATACATTTCAACGGGTAACAGAAAACTGAAGGTTACCAGCGAAAGCAATGTAGATGAAGTTTTCATACGTCAGACCTCTGCTTTCTCCAAGCATATTCAAGTCATACGTAGCTGTCACACCTCCAGGCGCGGTTAAAACTAAACCAGCTGTCTGAATTGGTTCATCCAGTGCATATGGTACGGAGGAATGTGGCCTGACAGTCCACTGCAGACTGTCGTGTACCGTGACCTACAAAGATACTCTTGAAAATAATTTCTAATTAATTCAATTAGATGGTTTAGCAAAACGAGAACTGATCTTGTTATAGCATGCGAGTTAATGAATTTCCTGGAGCATCTTTGTTTCTTAATTAATCACCTGATTTACTATCAAAGGCACCTCCGAGAAATTATCAACTCTTATAGGGGGTGGCATGGTATCCGCGTCAGTGAACACGATGAAATAGGTACTTTCTTGTAGCACAACATCTACTCGAAGGAAATGCATTCTTCCTGCCGCGTCTCTGATGTTAATAGTCAGTGAATAATTATCGTCCAGTCTGATACCACCTGACCACATGCAATCTTTAACATTTATGATACGGACGCACAATAATAAGTCTTTATCGAGACGTGGCCAGTGAAACGGCATGTGACAATCGGGCATGGTTCTGATATACGTTGCTTGAGCATCTGGGTGACTCTGGAAGCAAGGATAATAAAGAAAACTGCATCAAAAAGGAAACGAAACTCGTGTCTTTCCCTTACAATTGTTGTCGTGAAACATTTCTGAGCTAGTTCCAAAGTGAAACTTGATTTATTATGCAGTTGATATCTTGGAGATAAAGTAACCACGGTGGTAGCCCTGTATTTTCCTCTTGCTGTCCTAGTAGCCACACTGATTAAATATACTATGTCAGGTCGACCGTCGCGTAGGGATATCCTAAGACGATGCACCTGTACGTATTTTAAAGTGGCATGTACATTTTGTACTTGAAAATAAATTTATATATATTGTATTAACAAACCTGTATTCCAGGTTGCAAATGAAAGTGCTGCGACCACTGTGGAATTCCTTGTGGATGCACAGCAGTACCCACTCTTACCGACAGGGTTCTGCTGGCTTCTTCATCGCTGAAAGAAAATAACAATGGTTCCACCATTCTGGCCTTCTCGTGCTCTTCGAATTGGCCAGCTGCCTCAGCTCCAACTCCTTCTTGCCGGAACACCAGAGGCAAACCAGTTTTATTAATAATCCAATATGGTGCGGTGATGTTGATCTGTGTACCAGATCCCTTTTCTATATTAACAGCTGCGTGTAGGTATAATATTCTGCCAGGGGAATCTGTTAGTCTAAGACGAGCAGTGAACGAGTTGGTGTGCGGTGGTAATATCATCTGTGGGGAACAATTTTCAACTTAGACGTCAGCTAAATGTTATGAAAAGTGATGAAGATCTTTACCATTCCTGGACCGGGATAACCATCCAATTGTATAGTGATCTCCAGCTGCTCTTCAACATTCACAGCATGCAAGTCTGCGCTGCCACCAGGTAGGATTCTACCGCTCTCTGTACCTACTTCGAACAACAACTCGTGGGGTAATAAGTTGGTCAATGTAAGAGGAGCCATCACAGTTATCGTATGACCTGGTAGTATCTGACTGGTGTCAGGTGGATAATTATCTCTCATCACTGCTACACACATTCTACAAAATGCAAACCCTCATAGATATATCTTTCATTTGATGAGGCGATGATACTTACCTAAATATATTGTTATGGTTAGCTCTACATGTGATACGATTTTCAATAATCTCTAATGGTTTCTTTACTACTGTCCAATCTATCGTTTCTGTACAATATTGGAACAAGGTATTCAGATTAAGAGGCTTCAGACACATCTGTATACCGGTGTGCGTTAAAGGTACCGACACGGTCGATAATGCAGGTACCTGAAGTATCCTGTCGTTAACTGACAAAGACAAATCTATAAAAGAGAAAAACATGAGTACATTGAAAAGTACAATTTTATGTGCAATGTAGGAAACATACGTCCAAACTGATTCAAAGATTTCTCCATTTTGATCTCCACTGGGTGTTTTAATTTGTTGGATATTTGCAAGGCTGATCTAACCGTAACCAATTTCCTAGCTGATCCTTCTAATTCAACAGCGAATACTATTCTAGCCTTTGGTGTGAACATCCGCAACTGAAATTGAACATTTAGTATACTTAAAAGAGAGAGACATTATTATATCTAACAATACCTGTGAGGTAGTAAAGTTTGCATTCGCATGCCTAAAGTATATTCCAACACGGTCAACTGTAACAGGGTCTACCGGTCTCCATCCATCTATCAGCACTGTGATCTGATGTCTTCTGACCGTATGAGTGGCATGATGCCTTAATTTCCCCCTTCCCTCAAAGGTGAATGGAATTGTGTCACCAGGAACAACTTCAAGCCAGGTATCATCCTTCTGAAATACATTCTTGCTCTTGAAATTCTGTCCTATATCCTTGGTATCGTCAGCAGTGGCGATGATCGTTTTGAACCACAATTTACAGCCAGTTTCATTCTTCAAGGCAAAAGGAATGAAAGGCATTCGACGCCTGTACGCTGTTCCATTCCCTGTTGCTTTGTTCACATTAACATCTTTGTTGGAGGTTGAATAGAAATCCTGCATCCAGTTGTTCTTCACTAACTCTATCAGTTCTACCAATGTGGATGTTATGTTAACGTCAACAGAATCTTGAGAGTCAACAGACATCTGCAATCTTTTGGAATTGAGGGAATTAGTTAGGGTCTGTTCCCAATGGACAGTGGCTTTCCATGGTTCCACAAAAGGTTCCCAGCCACTGAGTACTCTGTTATAATAATCAATGCTGAACGTGGTGGATACTAAACCAGGTCCCATGCATGCTTGCTTCAAGTTTAGATCCAGCAACGAGATCTCTAACAATGGTACATCAGCATCTCTACAGTCATCGATGATGCATATTCTTGCACAAGGCGTTTGCAGTTCAACAGTGTGAAAGACAGATTCGTTGTTGGTGTTAACGTTAGAGTCAGGTACCGCGTTTTGGGTCAGCCATAAGGCTGCCTCGTCCAGCTGGCCATTACAGAGATCCAAGGCTGCTCTGCAATCAGCATCGTTGAACCCCAATGCTGTTAACTTTTGCACCTGCATTTCAGCAGAGGTCAACGCTTCGCTGGATCGTTGCTTGGCCAGCAGTGTCTGTTTCGGCAGAGATTTGAGCATCCTGGAGAACATGGTCACGTCGTGGTAGCTCAATCTCACGCAGAGTGGTTGCAGTTGGATCTCGAGGCATTTATCCTGCGTCAAATCTAAACTGGCACCTACGGGGTCGATGATGGACAGGGCGGTCTCTTCTTCCAGTCCCAGAATGCAAGAGAATAGCTCGCAATGAGACAGATTACAGGACAACGGTTTCTCTCCTTCATGAGGAGCCGATCTGTACGAAAGTACAGCGGTGCTCTTCAGGATAACAGCGTTGGTGTCGCGCACCGAAGTGTCCTCCACGATCACCAACTCGGAATCAGTGATGTTGATTTTTAATTCAAGGGGTATCGCCGTCGAAGCGTTGTTATCGTTCTCCTGGTTACTCTCTGTCGCTGTTTGAGCAATTCCAATGATGGGCCTGGGCTCGAGGGAATTCAACATCAGGAAGTCCCTGACCGCCTCCCACCAGTCAAGAATAGCAGTCAGTCGCATGCTGTGCACGAGAATAGTGGTCGCTGCGTTTGTCTTCCGCCTCCTATGGTGCACCTCAGCCTGGACACGATTTTCGTTATTGGAATTCCTGAGGGGCTGCAAGATACTAGTGAAAACGTTGGACTGTTTATTAACCGGTTCATCCTGGAACCTTGTGTCTATGATTAAAATCTCCTGGGACACCAGGTCAATGTCCTGCGAGCCATCGCTCAGGGAGTCCAACGTCAACCTGGATTTAATAAAATTAACACAAGCCAAAGCTGCTATATTGTGATTTGGGTGTAACTTGACTGTCACGTTCACTAATTCCAGAGTTATACAGGATTTCTTCCAGATCTTTCCTCTGTTATCCACGCTGACTATCGAGTATTCAGCAGTCTGATCAAGATCCTGCATAAACTGACGTAGATCCTCCAAGTTTTCCCCAATATTGTAAGAGAGGAGTCCACGAATCAACATGTACTGTGCTGGATCCAAAGCACAGTCCATGGTTGAGAGCGTCCCGTGTATGCTCAAGTCTGGAATCTCTCTGCTTATGTAAGTGTCCAAGTTTCTTTCGATACGTAACTTCAAGTGGCACATCTCAGTAAGCAAAGAGGATCCAAGTTTTTTAATGTGAAAACCACCGACCACCAAGGTGTCCATTTTATCATCCTGATCGTCGCAGTTCACTCTCTTGGCCGCATAAACGTCCATGTTGACTAGCTCAAGGAACATCACGTCTAGCATGCATTTATCCACCACTTCTGATTCTGCAAACTTATTGTGAGCAGTGAGCTCACCTAGATCTAACAATATCAACTCATCGGACCTGGAACTAACTGGCAACAATATCACAGGAGCACCTGCTTGGAGCTGTAACGATAATCTCATGCTTCTTTTATTGGTATCGATAACAGCACCAACTCCAGCTCTTAGATTCGCCATGATGGTCCACAGTTGTGAGAAGTGACCAAAGAATGCCTGTAGTTCGGCTACGAATCTCTGAGTGTGTACATAGTGAACCGCAGACATTTCCAGTTTCAATTGGGCATCGTAAGGTCGTTTCTCTGTGTCTACGTAACTAGAATACTGAAAATTCAGAGCTTTCCTGCCTGACGAGAGGAACCTCTCTCTGTAAAACCTGCCATGCGGTGTCAGATCTAACAGGGACATGGATCCCAAGGATCCTGATATCTTTGTCTTTCCATTTGCCTTCAGAATGTGCATACTTGCGTTTGACACGTTCGCCTTCGCGATCTCCCTCTCAGACTGTATCAGAACTAACGTCAAAGACCTAACTTCTATCTCAGTCTCTGACCTCAGAGGTAAATTATCCACTTTGTCCAACTGATCTACGTCTATGGACGTCTGATGCATAGTGACTTTAGGATTCACTCTAGACGGTCCAGCAAATCCAAAGAAGTCGAACACCACCATCCAGGACTCGACACTGATCACCAAGTCCAAACAATTGAAGTCTACAGTTACTATCTTCTGATGAAACTGATCCTTTGTCTGTTGATCACAGTCTGGTTCGATGATGCTGATACTCAATAGGACCAGATTCTCTTCACTGGTCGACGCACCTGGCGATGGAGGTGGTGTGTTTGGCGTATGTATCAACGACACAGGTTTCCTACGCCAGTGAGCAGGAATGGTGCCATACAACGTGTCCGTCTCCAATCTATCCGGCAAGCTCCCCCTCCCAAATTCACTCCTGACCTGTTGAACGAACGCAAAGTTGGGGCAGGACTTGGAGACACCGGCGGGAAGCTTGGCACGTGTCGGTGCCGATGACTGCATCATGCAACGATGTCGCGAGCCGATAGGGCACAGCAAGTCCTCCATGAGGAGTGAACGCAGGGCAACTTGAATGGTAGATTCGTTCCTCTGCAGCTTCTCATACTTTGCCACGAAATCCCGCATCGATAATTCAACCAGTGGTTGCTCCTGAGGACCTTGCTTCAACTCCATGCTCAAAGTGGGCAACTCGAACAGAACCTTGATGGAGAGGTCCAGCTTGTCCGAATAGTTGTTCGGTACTTTATTCGTTGTCTGCAGTTTCTGAACAACCGGCACAGACACTGGCATAGAGAACAGCCTGTTTATCGTGTCCAACAGTTGCTCGTACTGTCCTCGAGACAGAGATACTTTCAGAGGTGTCATCACCACTCCGTGCACCTGGACGATGGGGTTGTTGGAGAACTCACCGTCGAAGAAGAAGCTGGGACTTTGTGCCAGAGTGGTTTCCTTCTCGACCACTACTTTCAAGACAGTATCGTGCAAGATCGGTTTACCTGACTCCTTACAGCTATACATTTGCTCCGCCCTCAAAGGGAGATTGCTAGGCGCTTTTCCAATATTCGCAGATATCTCTAAAGAGTACAGATTCATGTCCCGGACTTCCAGAGTCACTTTGTGCTTAGCCATAGAGCCAGGATGAGGTTCGTGTTGCAAAGACATGGTACCAAGGTGTGCAACGAACACCTGTCTGCTGTGGGACGACCTTGGTATCACCAGGACAGGACTGTCCAGAAGAACGTCCAACTTCAGAGACAGAGTCCCTGAATTGTCCAGGTCTACGGAGAGACTCGGCAGACGTCTTCGAGGTGGTATCGACCAGTCCTCTGCGTTGACAAGACCAATGGCCATGTCTGTGGCTGCTGCGCTGATCTGGCGTGCAAGGTTGCTCAGATACTGTTTGAACTCGTCGGCACATGAACGCAATTCTGATAGCAGGTGTGGGGCGTGGGTGTACCATACGCTGCCAATGCGCACTGCTAAGTCTATCAAAGTCCCCGTTCCATCCTGCTGTGGGAAACACAGTTTGGTACACTTGTTGGCTGAGAACCTTAAGGCTTCCGGCTGGTCCGTCAGACCGGTGAAGTGTTCGAACGGATGCTGAGGTGGATCGGCTATGGGGTCTCTTCCAACGCTGATTATACGCTGATGCGTTTTACCAGTCGACGTTTGATCCAGCACCTGAAGACCTCCGAGTGATCCAGAGATGGATGCGTTCACTGCCAGTGTCGCTTGGATCCGGGCATCGCACATGGTGGCTGTAGCTATCTTTTGCCCTACCAAATGATTATCCTGCATCACTGCCCGCAACAGTAGAACGTTCAGTCTATGGAAATCGAAGGTGATCCTTGTACTGGTCGACACTTTCGGTTCTGTGCTCTGATTCGAAAGGGACTCCTGTCTTTCTATGATGCCTGGCCTCAATTTTCTGGACGGGAATATCCTTCTGAAGAAACCCATCAGTTCTACAATCGTTTCCTGATTGGCGATTATGTCCAGATTGTTGAACTGAATGTTGGCGACTCTAAGAATCTCCAAAGCGTCGTACACCAACATTAATTCGACCACGATCAGAGCCTCGGAGTCCATCTTTTCTAAATCGATCAAAGAATTATTTCTAGGTGACTGTGGATTCTTCGCCTTGTTCGCTAGATTCGAGAGAGCATTTGTCAGAGCTATTGGGGAAGTCAATCTTCTTGGCACTGTAGGGTCTGGGGATCCTGGAGAGACCGGTGAGACAGGTGACGTTGGCTCCGAGTCCCTCAGACTACCCGAGATGCTATCCATCCCTACGTGTTTGTGACTAGCTACCAGCAACTCGAAATCAGGACCGAATTCTTGAAGAGCATCCACGAGCAGCAAGCCATGGACCGACAGGGAAACACTGATGTCTGCTGCCCTTTTGCTGAAAGCAGCTCGTACTCCGGACACCTGTAATTCTGCTACACTGCGACCTCTTGATTGCAATTCGAATGTCATTTGATCAATCATAAATTGAACCATCAACGCATGACTCAAAGACTTGTCCAAGCTCTCTTCTTTCTTAGGACTCTCTGGTTCAACGTTTATCACATCAGCCTGTTGGATCCCAGTGGATTTGGAGAAGCTCGTTAGCAAACTGTACATCAGTCGAATTGCCTCCACCTTCTGTTCGTTAACGTGCACCACCAATCGTGGTAGATTCCCAGATACCGTGACTGATGGCAAGTTAGGATCCGACGAAACGAACACACGTCTCTCGATCTTCAGTGATATGTTGAAACGTTCCAAAACGTGCAAGCTGGACATACCTCTGGTACGTATGTGTTTCCAATTGTCGTTTACCTTTCCAACTAAAATCTGCAGATCCACCAAGTCGATGGAGTAATGATCGTACAATTTCTGATGCAACGCTGTCTCGGATATCGTCTGGAAGTCTTGAATGGAACCGTTCTCTTGGCTGCCAGGCGGAGTCGAGCAGGGTGTCTCGAATCTTTCGTCCTCGTCGTCGCTGGTGGTACCTGAGCCAGGTTTTATGATCACCTCGTTGTTCTGTACGTTGTTCGATAGATGAAGCTTTCCAAAATCGACCACCACCACAGCGGCGTTTGAATCCACGAAATTTTCGACCAGTAATATTTGTGGCGCTGATATGTTGAACTGCAAGTCCCACGAGGAACGATACACAATGTCAGCATCCAAGATCTGTTCCCAATTCTTGATAAGCTGCCTTCGTGTTCTACGTTTCATCGCTTGGAGCTTCTGGTTCGACGATGACCTGTGCGGTTTGCACATGAAATCTATCAGCCAATGTATCACAGCTGGGTTGTACACCACGTCCAACGACCTCGAGTTCACGTGCAACGAGTGATCGGCTGTTAAATGCAACGGTCTCTTCTCGTAAGTCATCTCGAACAGGTGTTGGGGCAATTGATTGGTTAATTTCTCTGTGGAACTACGAATTCTGGAGGTAGCAGGGAATATTAATTGCGGCTGCACCAGAATGGGGAAGGTAGAATTCTCTGTTAGATAATCATGGAGATACAAGGCTCCTAAACTGATGGAAAACTTGTGGGATCCAGACCTGGGTCTCGATTCGTAACTTAAGTTCACTCGTTCGAATTGCAGCTCTATCACAGCTTTCTCGTTATCGTTCTTCGTTGTACAGAGAGAAACAGCCCCTTTCGATAAAGTGAAATTAAATTGTCCAAAGACTGTGTCGCGACGTAACAAAGTATCATCGTCCATGGTGTCCGCTAAGACGTCCAAAAGCTCCCCATCAAACGTGGACGATGAACTCTGAGTGTTTATGTTCGGTGCCTTCGAGTACCATCCCCACCACTGTGGAAACCACTGTTCAAGCATTCCACGTGGCTGTGGTACGTTCACGTCTGAATTTTGTACAGGTTTCGGTGGCCTAGCTCTGCGCATCGCTATTTCTCTGAGCACCCTAAGCTCGTCGAAACTCCGCTCCTGTTCTACCTTCTCTTTTAACTGTTTCGTGTCTGAAGGTAAAATACTGGTAGGTGTCCCTGTAAATCAATATTCGTTCAAATCATAAGGAACGTACAGTTTTTATAATTTCTTGATAAAATACCTAGCAATTTAGTGTAACTCTCCACGTATAAGATATTCTCTTTGCCTCTTCGCAGTATGTCTTCCCAGGAGGGTTTAGGTTTCAAAGTATCTTTACCAAGATGACAACGTGCTGCGTATTTCCACCATTCTTTAGGTGACGAGGAGACACTGACCGTTGGCCTGCAACGCCTCTGTTGCTTACGTCGGTCTATATCCTTCAGGCCTTTTATACATTTAACTATTTGTTCGTATTGTACCTAACAAAAAAGTTATTCACATTAACGTTTCCTTTTATATTAATATTATATTTTTGTATTAATATTTTTTATATTAACCCATTTGCTACCGCGATCCCCAAATGGGGATTTGAATATATATGATTTTTTGCAATAGGATTATATTAAATAAAATGTTAAATAAAAATTTGGCAGTTAATGGGTTAATAAATCGCATGGAGGTACGCAACTTACGTCTGTTAGACACAACGGGACATCGTCTAACAAAAGGTCAACTATAAATCTTGGTTTACTTGTTGATCTCAATGGTCGTTCAGATCTATCTCTTTTAATATGCGCCCTTGCATTAACTGGTGATAAAACATATTTCTTTATTATGTTTCTTGGTTCACTCATAGCGATCTAAAAAGAAAAAGTATACTATTCGTTAAATTGTTCATTAATTTATTACCATACTTTAATTAAATAGTAAAAGAAATATATACAGCTAAATCACCAAGATTGAGAGAACCGAAAAACTCGTTTGTCTTCAGGTGATTCCAGTAAATGGAAAGCTTATCAAGTTCCATAAGCTTAAAAGAGGCATCTGTGAGATTCCATGAAGTAGAGCCTGGTATCCAACTAGCATCGCAACTTTGAGCAGTTAAAGCTCCTATAGTTATACCCAGTGCTATACCTATCATTGTTTTCAATTCTATCATTAATCAAACAGATCTTCAGCTTTTATTTTTATATCATTAATAAAATTTCTTTACCATCCGATAATGTTATACCGTCTTCATATCTTATATGAACATCTTTAATGTTAAGCTGTAAGTTTTCGATGATATTTGTGACTAAGGAGGTGCCATAATTTACCCAAGAACTATAACTTGTAGCATAATAACCAGGATCATGCTCCGTGTCAGCTCTCCATCTTGCTTCTAAAGAATCTAGCCGACTTAACTTATATTCTAAAATTGCTTGTTCCTCTGCCTCAACGTCAAACTACAAATAAATGATGCGTTTAATCTTGTAGAAGAACCGATGGTGTACAATATACGTACTTCTTCTAAACTGATCGGTCCTGCTACTAAATAAAGCTGCTCTATAACTATAACCCACGAGGCTGTTCTTATTTGACGAACAGGTACTTGCAACCTAACTTTACCGATAAATCCTGCTTTTATTTCAATTGGTAAACCAATGTGACGCAATGCCTCCCTCTTTAATGGAAGATTTTCTAACTCAGCTTCTCCTGTTAAAAGACAACATATCTGTAAATGTGATTCTTACAATGTCAAAAACAATGAACAATTTACTTTGTCAAATTTCAAATATAAATCATGAATTTCCAATTGTTAAAACAGATTACAACAATGGAATGAAAAAGCAAACGTTGTCAGTAATATGTTTCAATGAAAATTCATGAACAGAAAATCATGAGAAAACATAACCTTACCTGACAATAAAGCAATACTCAATTGATCTGTGTTTAAATTTTCGACATACTTTCCTAGGTAATTATTTAGCACCCAGGCAACGAGTCCTTCCAACATTTTGAAATATTCAAATGTTTCTTAACAACTATTATAAACAAACTTTCATATACGGAAGTAGGCATAAATAACCTCCATTAGGTTATAATTTTCGAGTTTCGTACGATTTTTCGAAACTCACGATATAACAGCATTTCTATGCCGTATCGTTAGCGAAGTACGATTCTTCTTAATTAATAACATTGTTTTTTATTTTCGGATAATAGTGCATTTATTGCGAAAACTTTGAAATATCTTATTAATACTGAGAGTCATATCCATACAACACTCATCGATCGTATACCAGTTCTCGGAACGTCCAACTATTTCGACATCGTTGATGGAACTTTGAAACTTACGATTACTTGCGTTAAAATACGTTCTTTTTTTGTATGTCGTCACGTGTATTATTATCTTACTGCTTAAAAAATTATTCAATTGAAATCATTAAAAATTATGAATTATAATAAAAATTAGACGTTTATCTATCTATGTTTAATTATTTAAAGAACAAGAAATTTCTTTCATTATTCGTGCAATTTGTATTCATCTATACACATTTAAAATAACTATGACTATATCCTAATGGATGATTCAATATAGCACAATAGTCATTCAAATTTCTTTTGTCCATTTATTATACATTAATTATAAAAACATCCTTGAAAATGAACTATTCATGTGCAAATACACTTCGTGCGATACTTGAATTCTTTTTGTTTGCTTATGTTTCTATTTATTTAATAAATACAAAGGTTTTATCTTAAACGTATGCGCATAGTGTAGATGCACTTTGTTGGGATACAATTTTGAATTTACATAAATCCAGATAATGGCATAACGTATGTGCGTATTCCACTGAGAAAACATACGTACGATGTGATTCGACTGTTATTTTTATTCAGACTTCGCTTTCGTGTCCTCTTTGTAATGAAGGAATACGAGTGAGAAGAGAAACACACCGCCCATCATTGAAAACGCGCTTATGTAATAGGGAAACGCGCTAGGGATAAAGCGTTCGTATTGAGTGTGTTGCAAAGGACGGACAGACACCTGCGTTGTGCTGTACAAATGCGTTAAACCGATACGGGTGTAGTCGACTTTGAATTGGTAGACCCCGTAAACATCAGGGATCTTAAATCTAGCTTCGTACCGGCCGTTGCCTACGGGTTTCATCGTCATGCGGATGAATGGATCGATGCGAACGAATTCCAATTGTAGGTCGTTCGTTTCATAAGGAACCCATTGATCGCCTGACAGCTTCTGCACCTCGATAGAATAAACAACGTCGTCCATGATAGTGTACGCTGCTGGAGGTTCGGATTCTCCCACTCTGTGATGATGAACCGATGCAACTCGTATCACACCATTCTCCTTGAAGACCCAACGGGCAATCATGGTTGCCACAGCCTCGTTTCCAGATTTCTCGTATTTCTTCCCATCTACAGCATTAATTAAACTTATGATATGTGTATTTTAAATAAATAGTCTGTTCATTTGTTCCGCTTACCTTGAGCTTTCTGAATGGGACTAGTGAATGCTTCATCGCTGAAGAAGTACAAGGAACCAGAAAATACAACTCTTGCGTTGTTTCTGGCTTGAAGAGCTGCAATTAACAGCGTGTTTTTACCAACTGCGTGAGGATATTCTTTGATAGGATTTTGTGGATTGTAAGAATACGCAGAGCTAGATGCTGTTAATAAACGTAAGATCAATGGATTCTCTACATCTGCGATCAGTCCAGTTCCTTGGTAAAGTAGAGGCTGGATATTTTTGCTTCCAACGATAACTGGAGCATCGATTAAGTTGGCAGGATCTGCTACTATCTTTGTATGATATCCATTATCGGAGACGTCATAGTTCAAGTGATCTATTACTGCAGAACCCTCCTCGTCGATTTCAAAGCCACATTCAGATGCTAACTCGTGTAATGCGTCGCCGGATTGAGAGGAACCAGCGACCAATACGTTACCACCGCCATCGATGAAGTCGGTTATTGCCTCTACGCTTAAGGCTCCGCCAAATTCCTCCACAGATGGAGCAAATATTATTAAATGTTTATACAAATACTCGCCGTACTTGGAGAGTTGTAAATTAGCATCGTCGGCTAATTTATATGTTAATGTATATCCGCTATCTGCAAACAGTTATAATTGATACCATAACCTTAAATATTTTACAACTTTCATTGAATGTTGTATACACATAACAACTATAGTACATGAAATATATAAACATAGTATTACTGTAATGAGAGAAAGAAATGTTAAGTGGTTGTCACTGAACCATTATTGATAATTATATCATTGAAAATAAAGGAATGTTTACCTACCCTGTAACGTCTTAAAAAATATGGAATGTGTTTCTTTTATTGCTAAATTGTCAAGTAAAACCAGCGATGGTCCTCCGGCATATACAATTTCAAATATTGCAAGAAAATAGAGCAATTTATTCATAATCTTCATTCTGTATCATAGGTGAAACTTTGCCACGAGACACACCGGTTCCACTATCTTGAAGTGGACGCACCATATACAACACGTAACCAAACGGAAACCATCAGCTGTACGGAAGTGACATGTTTTACAACTGTGAAAATCAAATTTACTATATGCAATCGGCAATATTATGAAAAACCGAATTTTAATCAATGATACGGTTAAATTGTAATATTCAATAATATATTTTGTATACTACTTTATGTACATATATACATGATAATTCAAACAAATTACTTTACCGACAGACCCTAGAAAAATCCCTAGAAACGAGAACATAATTTGAGGTTATGCTTTATTTGAGTCCCTAGAAAAATCCCTAGAAAACAAATTACGAAACGAGAATACAATTTGAGGTTATGCTGTATTTGTTGATCGAGATGTTAAAACAGGAATAAACGTAAATACGCCCACTAATCGATTAATTAATCTGTTATCTTGTTATATAAACTGTTTAGCGAAATGTCATCCAAAACAGAGGTTACATTAGAACATTTTTATATATTTAACGGAACTTATGCAAAAAAAGAAGGAGAGGTACGTTAAAATGTATACGATATATAATGTAAATAAATTATTACATACCTTTGTTAATACAGGAGGAAAAGAAAATACTTTATTATTATCCTGAAAGAGATTTGGATGTCCAAATTAAGAACATAGGGCTCAGTGAAGCAATTATTAAATTTGCACAGTATGTATAATTATATTGAATTCTTATAAAACAGTTTTATAAACTTCACATTTTAAATCATTAGGTCTTTTAATCCTGGGCAACCTTGCGACTATTGTCACACACATAAAACCCGTCAAATATACTATCAACCTGAACCAAATTTTTGGATGGTAATGGTAAGTTTTTTTATTGTAATTAAAATTCAAGCATTCTTAAAAGAGGTAAACATTTGACAGAATTTTATCCACAGATTGTTGGAGTACCATATATATGTAAAGAAAAAGATGGTAATAAATATACAGAATATCAGAATGATGAAGTTTCAAGCAGTATTTGTCAGTCTATATTGAAACAAGCATATGTTATGTTCAGACTGTTCATGGGTTCTTTTGACACAATTATTAATGAACCTGAATGTGGAGGCATAACGTTATTAAAACATACCCTTGAACATTTTTATTCCAGGGTAAATATATGTTTCCTTAAACGCATAAGTTTTAACATCCTTTCTTTAAGTTGTGTGTTTTCCACAGTATTTATTATCTCTGAAGTTAAATAACAGTGATATTTTGGATATTTTCCAAGGCTTACAATTTTTACCTCTTGATAAAATAACATTCCTAAAAGTTCAGTGCTTCATGAACCTTGTAGAAGCTATGTTTTCTCAAGTGAAGTATACAGCATTCCTTTATAATGATCAAGTTGTGTGGTTGGTACTATGACAATTATTATATTAATATGCTTTATAATAATAAAGTAAGTGACTCTGTGTAATTGTTTAGGAGCGGTTTAGAACCTGAAGATATGCAAGTAGTTTATAATTATTTAGTAAGCACACTTTTACCAGCTCATCTTGAAAAAGAATTACATGGAGGTTCAATGCCTAGGAATTCACCCTCTCCATTTACTACTTCACATTATGGAAAGTCAGTATATACATTTCTCCATACACGAGAAACATAATAAATACTAATTACGTATATTTGATAGATTTGTCACTGGTCCATCTAATATCAATGAGCCAAACTTGATTGGAAAATCTCCCACAGTATTTATAAATTATTCCACGAAACCTGTCTCTTTATATCTAGTAGTTTACAGAGCACTAAGTGCCACAATTTGTCTCTTTGTTGACAGTAAGTACTCTTTTTCTTTTAAACAATCATTAATCTCGAATTTTTATAGGGTATGTAAAAGTGAAGTATTTATTTTGCAGGTAAAACAAGTTTAATGATTGATTTCTTTAAAAGTCTTGATAATTTTCTTGGTCCACAATTGACTACACTTGTCAGTTCAGTTGCAGAACAATGTGCTAAACATGTCACGGTTACCCCAGAATCTTGCACCAAATATTTATATTTTAATAAACTCAATCTAGCATATAAAAGTACAATACATTTAGATAATAGACGATGCAATAATGTACTCACGACACCTGAAGTGTTGAGGGTTATCAATGATATATATAGTGATACAAATAAGTAAGTACATATTTAAGTAATCACTTTGCTTTCAATTTAAATCCTTAAATCCTAATCTTATTTTAGATTAAAAGAGGCTGGTGAAATTGTTATAAAAACTATGAGCGACTATTGGGTTATTGGAAAATTATCAAACTTGAGAGAATTTTTTGTAGTTATTCAACAAAAAAGTGCGAGCATAATCGAAATAGAAGGTACGTATACATAATTTCCATTTACTTTATTACGGTTCCAAACTATACATGTATGTACAAATATTTATTTCAGATGAGGTAAAAAGACTTTGTGAAAAACAATTGAAAAGCATATTTTTCCATTAATAAAAGTGATATTCATGATTCGTGAAATGGAAAATACGTCATAAATGCATTAGTTATAAATATTCAGCAACTATTTTATACGACGATTAAACTATTGTTTATTCTCTCCACTGTGAACAACGTACATATTGAAATTATAGAAGATAATATGCTATAACTGCAAAATGTTATATAATTTATATATAAAATTTAATGTAAAATACAAATTCTGTACATATGCATTACATATTTTTAATATATTTAAAATTGTTTAAACCACGTTTTTTTAAATACTATAATGATCATTATAAAAATATTAATAATTTTAATCAACTGCTGATTCTTCTTCTGTAACTTTCTTTTTCTGAATAATATTAGAAAATTTCTTTAATTTTGCTACAAAAAATCCATCCATATTATGTACATGCGGATAAAATCGTTTGGTTAATTTTAACGAAGGATGAAATCTGTATTGCCTGTAACTTGTGAAACCCTCGGTACCAAATTCTAAACCAGTGGGTATTAATTTAACGTCACGTTTCCTAAGAGCGTAATCGATAACCCATTCGTTTTCTTCCGGGAGAATCGAACACGTAGAATAAACGATAATTCCACCAGATTCCGAACGCGCATTAGCGCAGTCTATAGCTGCTAAAAGTAATTCTCTTTGTAATGTGCAACAACGTTGTATGTCCACTTCGTCTTTATTTGTTTTAACGCTAGGATCTTTTGATACAACTCCAGTACCAGTACACGGTGCGTCTAATAAAACCCTATCAAAGCCTTTAATAATCTGAAAACAGCATAATTTCATTAATATACTTATACATGAAACATTTATGTACAGTGGGTCCAAAAAGTATTTGTACACCATTTAAAACAGAGTACCTTGTTTAAAATTGGACCAAATGACTTGAGGTTTCTTGAGAAGCTATACAAATTAATTTACTAAGATATGTGCTTTTGTCGTTTTAAAAAATTACAATTTGTCGAAATCGGGAAAAAATAAGGCAATTTTGAAAGGCAATTTTTTAATTTTTTTATCTGAGTTTGCAATGAAAATTTAAAATATGACATTTGTAAATTTAAATCGAGACTAGTCACGTTCTAGTAACTTCTAGTAACTTCTAAGGGCATTGACCGATTTCGATGAAATTTTCAGCATACACATAACTTATTTGAATCTACGAAAGACATTTTAAATTTTCATTACAGGCTTACATAAAAAAATTAAAAAATTGCCTTTCAAAATTGCCTTATTTTTTCCCGATTTCGACAAATTGTAATTTTTTAAAACGACAAAAGCATATATCTTAGTAAATTAATTTGTATAGCTTCTCGAGAAACCCCAAGTCATTTGGTCCGATTTCAAATGAGGTACTCTGTTTTAAATGGTGTACAAATATTTTTTGGACCCACTGTATATAATACGTACCGATGGTAATTTTCGTCCATCATGAGTGGAAACTACAGAATTCACAATGCCGAGTCGGTGGAAATTACCGACAACGGCCTTTATTCTTTCTACGTTCACATCATTTGAAAACAGTACACCCGTGTTTTTCATAAGCGCTGCTATGTGCGACGATTTTCCGCCGGGTGCAGCGCACATGTCGAGAATCCTTTCGTTCTCCTTGGGTTCTAAAGCCATTACGGGTAGGAAACTAGATGCTCCTTGTAGAATGTAATGTCCGGCTAGATACTCTGGTGTTGCACCCATTGGAACTTGCGAAGAGTATACCACTAATCCAATTTTTGTCCATTTCCCTATAGGATCTAAATTGACCCCTCTGTTGATTAGAGCCTAAAATAACATTCGATGATATAAATGTGAAATATAATATATTTATTTCGTATTTTCTGGAATATATACTTCAGCTAAATCCCGACGGCGTGTTCTTAATGTATTCGTTCGTAGCGTCATAGGTCTTTGAACCTCGCTCGCTTCCAAAAATTCTAACAATTCGTCTAGGGGAAATATTTGCATCAACTTCTCCATTAAGAAATTATTATAGCTATAATATGTACATAAATCTTTTCTCAACAGGTCCATGTATTCCGAACGAGACCTAAAGCAAAGGTAAAATATCATTTTTATGAAACTTCTTTATAAAAAAATATCCCAAATTCAGACGTACCGATTAACATCACGCAATCTCTTAAAATCAGATAGTATCATAACAACATCTTTTATACGTTGTTGCACATCTTTAAGACTGGTAACATTTTCGAGTTCTTCTTCAGTGGGAAAATTAAATATAAACTGTTGCGACATCATATCAGTCATTTCTTCTTCAGCTAATTTTCTAAAAAAAAAAATAAATTAGAATTAGGATTATTAAGTTTAACCTAATAGTAAATCTTCCTTACTGTTCCTTTTGTTGTTTCTTTTTTAGTTTCTTATTTGCTTTCTCTATAGGAAGTAAATCATCGTCGTCTTCTTCTGCTTCTTCATCTTGATCCATTTCCTCATTTTCATCAGATTCATCACTACCGTTATATTCTTTATTATCTTCAGCTGCATCACTTTCATCCGCAGCGTCACTTTCATCCTCTACATCGCTGTCCATCAACTTCATCTTCGTACTTTTTGACTTCTTTTTGTTTTCCATTGTTTCTTCATCAGATACATTACTATCATTGTCCAATTGCATTTGTTCATTTTCATCGCTTTCATTGTCATTCGCAAATGATACCACATTAGGAGGTTTCTTCTTCTTTTTCAACTGTTTAGAATTGTCCTTGAGGTTCTAGTTTAACGCAAAAATATCTGTTAATAATATCAATACATAATATTCAAAGAATATTCAATGAATGAAAGAGCTTACATTTTTCTTTACAATGTCTTTTGCATTTTTCTGTTTCTTCTGTAACTCTTTTAGGTTTTGCTTCTTCGACAATCGTTTTCTTGCACGTTGCTTTTGCCTATGGCTCAAGATTTTTTCTTCTTTTACTGTAACAAAGAATTATGTAGCTTACATTTCAATATAAAATAAACAGATTATAAATAAATAGAGCTGCAATTTTCATTACCTAATACTCCTTTTGGAAATGTTGGGTCTCCCTGTTTCTTTGCCTTTCTTCCAGGACCTTTTGGAACAACTGTTTCATCAAACTTCGCTTTTCGCCCCATTTTGGTATTTTATTCAGCAATTAGTACAAAACTACTTAAATAAAACAAACAAATTTGTAATTCTTTATATATTTTAATTAACTAATTAGTTTATACATTTCTTATTATACCTAAATTTTTCAAAACGAACACGTGAATTATAACCAATTCATTCTATTTACAGTAGTTTGAACATGTGTATATATTTTTCATTCAATGCTACCAACTTTCAAGAAAGGGGTTTGAACGAAAATTATAAATGTCCCTATAAAGGTTGAAGGAATTTTTTAACGATACACGTGCTTTGTAAAAGATGTTTGTTAATTTATAATGTCATCTTCTGGATAGAATATACAAATCTTAAAAGAAAATGGGGATAACTAAACAAGAAGTGCATCGTCCTGGTTCATTGAAACAAACAAATAAAGCGCATAAAACTGGTAGACACCGAAGTAAAGGTTCTATAAGTAGCGAGGTTAAAGGTAAGGTTATTTATCACTAGATTGCCGGAGCGATTCAATGTGACTCATTTACGATTTTATTGCTAGAAAAACTTAAATAATTTATTTAAAAACATATGTTGGTTTTTAATAGAATTATGAAATGTATACAAATACTAATTCCTTCCCCTCCCTACTCCTTAGTTCCAAAAATCCATATGTGCTATTCTTACATTTCTTCTATTGTGGACATTTACTATAGGGTACTATTATAAATATATAATTTTGAAGGGATATGTTGTTTCGCTTTTGGCCTTGAAAAAGGTCGAGTTCTTTTAAGTTTCAAAGAGAGTAATTATTAACCCATTAGCTGCCACGATCTCCATTTGAGGATTTTTGAATTTTACGTACACCACTTGGCGCCAAAAATATGCATATATATAACTTATCCGGCCAAAAATTTCAAAAAAAAATTTGGCAGTTAATGGGTTAAGTATAGATGTTCCTATTTTAAATTTTTCGTAGCCCCGAAGAGGTATTTTAAGGAAAGTATGCTTTTTTCCAAAACATACTTAGAACAAAAATGGGCAAAAAAGTATTAAGTGGTTCCTAGAAATCGGTCCAAACACCGTTTCAATGTCTATATAAAAATATAGATTGTTACAGCATATGACATATGTTGTATTACAGCCATAAATAACATAACACAGTTCAAAAATATAAATTTATTAATTGATTTCTGCAATTGTTTTCATTTGACATCAATAGTGGTGTCAACCATGGAAACAAATGACTGTTTCTTATTGCTCTGCACTGCAATGAAACGCGTTGGCATGCGAATTGCACCGAAGTTGTCGCAGTGAAGTTGGCTACACATTCACTAACACATTCACGCCGCATCTGTGAGCCTATTGGCGAGGTGCACGCGGAGGAGGGGCTGCCTATGTTAAAAAATAGACAGGCCTCCCCCCGCGTGCACCTCGCCCGTTGGCTCACCGACATGGCGTGAATGTGCTAGTGAATTGTAGCCAACTTCACTGCGACAACTTCGATCCAAAGCCATTAAAATGTTGTCCGCAAAGGACGAACGTTTACTTCAAAAAGGTGCTATTATTGCACTCCACAAAGCTGGAAACAGCAATGTGGAAATTGCAAGAATAGCACAGTGTTCAGTCCGTACCGTTCAAAGATATGTAGTAAGGTATTCCGTTTATGGTACCGAAGGACTGGTGGACTTGCGTCAACTAAACAGAGGTAAGCGACACACGACCGAGGAAGAAGATAAGCTGATAGTCGGTAAGATTGAAGAGCATCCCTTTCAGACCGTGGTGAACATTACCGCAGATTTGAATATAGGAGGGTCAAAGTACATTATCTATAGACGTATGCGAGAGGCCGGTCACCACTCCCGCTGGGGGCAGGTGCAGTTGCTGCAAAGACATGACGAGGACCGCGTTGGATTTGCATTGCAGCATGTATCTGCATCACAGGCTGAATGGGATTGCACAATCTTTACCGATGAAAAAGTATTTTCTTAAGCCTCGGATCGCGCGCTTTA